AGGGGGACATATCATATATTTCATCATAAGCTTTTGTGGACTCCAGGTGCATCTGATAAAGTGGACGGGAATACATGAAATCTTGTGCAGAAATATGGTATATCAGTCCCCAAGGGTAATTAGATTCCTTCTTAGCCTAAAACAGACAAATACCACCATCTTTCTGAAAATTAATGTAACAAAATGAAAGTAATGGATGATAATGATTTGGCAAAGCTATAAAGTCAGGTCACAGAGAAATGGACACATTGTTTTCAGCTTCTGGATTGTAATGAAGAATGGCATATAAAAATACTTACTTCAGAAAGAGACCTGTCCCTAAATCTCTTAACTGAACAGAATGTTCAATTAGAAACAAAAGTTTTGATTAATTCAAATGGCCTTCCAGCATAGCAATACCAAGATAAATATTTGCATACCAAAATTGTATCTTCATTCAAACAACATTTAAAAGCAAAAGTATTATAGACAGAGATTATTGTAAAAACGAACATACCATGTTGAAATTACGAGATAGCTAGAGACACTTCATAAAAATATGCTTCACGCTACCAACATACATAGAAAAGTCCCCTCACTCACCTGGGATGCGGCTGCAGCATATGGATCTGCTTCTTCCACTTATATTATCGTGTCAGCCTGCACAAAAGAGCTCTAAATCTATATCTGTTTTTGAATATTAATCCTGAAAGACCTTAAAAAGTCTTCCATTTTTAGGATCTGGTTCATTTTCTCCTTGTTATTTAGCAAAGTTGTGCATTAGGACATGTAGAATGAGCAGTATCTTTTTAAACTGGACTATAACAGCAAATTGGAACTGCATGCATAGTTGATGATGTGAGTATACATACATCCAGTTCACATTTATTAAATGTAATGTGACAGTAGTTTGAAAACAACACTGAGCCATTATCCTACAACAAGTTGAACACAGCCTGCCTCACATGCTCTATCTTCCACCTCTGGCATGATAGAAAAGGACATGATCAATTCCATTTTAGGAAAACTGCCATTTCTCTTGTCATCCAAACCTGCACAAACTGTGGTTACTCTAAACTATTTTCAGTGGAGACAAGCCAACTTCAGATCAATTTTTGAAGCTGGCTTGTTTAACTGACAACATTTAAGGGCTCAGATGATATAGTAAACAGCAGTAATCTAAATAGATGCTTCATAATCTCCAGTTCGCAGCCACACAGAGGAAGAGTGTTGATTTTCCGAATTCTAAACAATGGTTTGATGTGACATCAAAACACAGCTAGTGGGTATGAGCTACAATAATATGAGTACCATCTTGCAAAAAAAAATCAAACAATTGAAAATAGAAATTTTTACAGGGATATACCACAGGCCAACAAAAAGCAGTATCCATGTAAAATAATTCCCCAGAGTGCACACGTGCACCTACATTAAGTATGTTAAGTCCCTTTATTAATCTTCGTATTTGATTCCCACCTTGACTACGATGTTTTTTTTTAATAAATGAAATTGTAAAAAGATGTTCCCTTTCATGGCATAATAACTTTAATATTAAAGGCATAGGCTAGCAAATGCAAAATTTATTTCAACTGTACATAACAGATACCTTTTTTAAAAAAAAACAAAAACACGTAGTTGTTATATGCCACCACAAACAATAAAATGCAAACTGTACAATACAATGCACATTCAGATATACATCTATTTTCTTCTGTTTTCCAGAGTCAGTAAATTAGTAAAGATGGCTTCTCCCATTCACAAATGAAATGCACAATATATAGATTTATTCGGTTTTTTTACGTCACTATATACACATAGTATTGTGTTTTGGCATGGTTATGCAAAACACACCATTAATATAACTTAGTGTCAACTTATATTAAATACTAATTGGATGGCAGTACCATTTAAGCCATATGAAAGGGACCCAAGATGGCTCACATCTACATTCTAATTCAAATTCTGTACTCCTTCATTATAATACTAACTGTACACACTTATTTTACAAATTGCATAACATAAGGTACCATTGTTAATATCATTTAAGTTTCACAAAAGTAAAACACTAAAACTCTGGGCAGAATACCACCATTTTAACACTGGATTATTTAAAATGCTTGTTGCATTAATATTTCCGATCCATCCATAACACCCAACAGTTTGCAATAGCATGAACATCAAAAAGGACCGTTAGCAATATGGCTACACCAAAGAAAAATGCTGCAAAGATAATGCTGCTGTGGCGATGCTTACAGCCACTATAACAACTAATGGTGGCACATTATGCAAGTTCTGGATAGTGAGAACTAGTTCAGCATAATTCTAAGAAGTGGAAAATTCCAGGGAAACCCCAGTATTTCAAATTCGTAATTCATCAGAGTAATATAAAGTCTTTAAAAAGTTTTAGCCACTGAAAAAAAAATCCACTTTCTAAAACCAGAACACTATTCATTAGTGATAATAAAAAATCAATGTCTTCTGTGTCACCCAATTTTGTTTCTAAAAAGTGAACACTAAGCTTAGAAAATATAAAAGTGAAAGAAACATAAATAGGTTTACAGGGATATTGTTTTGGCAACATGAATTGTGCAAATATTCCATTCCAATTCTCTTCTCAGTGTCAAACTAAGACTTCACACGGGAGTGGTATGTAAATTTCCTGATTTTATGTTTTGCTTTCCTTCTGCCCATTTTCCTTCTAAAAACTATTTCCGCCCAGCTGCTTTTCCTTTTCATTGTGGTGGGAGAAAATATCCATATACCTTCAAAATCCCCCCACTCACTTGAATCAAAAGGAAAACTGGGTTAAATGGGGAAGGGTAAAAAACTGAAATCCAATTCTACAACAATCTCAAGTTGCATCATAATTCAAGTTTCTTACTGCCAACATGGGGCTGTAACTATTTTGTCTCACATAGAGATGGGAAAATAGCAGAACATGAAGTAACAACAGTGTGGATGAGTGTTCTTGGCTCATCTCTGCCATCATTATTATGTTCTCTAGTGTCAGTTGTGCTAAGACTGTGAAGTTCTATCCCCTCACTTGGGCTGCTAATGTCAAGCAATTATGAGGTAAGGGGGACAGAGTACATGCGCACAAGTGGGTTGCCCTCTGTCTTATCGTGCAGCATTACCTGCACCAGTGCAAACAGTGGTGAATCCCTTTACAGCCAAGACATGCTCTTGGGGATTAGGTTCTAAATTAAATTGGCTGGAACAAAGAGCTTAGAAACATTTCTTTTGGGATCAACATTTCTTTTGGGATCAAATAACTAAGTTCTCCAACCTGTGGTACAATACACATGTACATCATCTGCACTATTTCATAGGAAACAAATAAGAATGTTCCTAGGAATCTAGAACTGAATTTAAATTCCATCAGTTTAGAGGAACTTAAATTAATTTAAGTGGAAGTAGAGAGAGACATATACTGACTATGTCTATTCCACTATCCCTCTTTAGATTATTTATACCCCATTTAGTCTTTAAGCAGTGAAACTACAGAGATCTACAGAATGAAGTTTATTATCAGATGATGACTCACAAGCACTTATGGTCATGTTGCTAGCAACAACAAGACAATGCTCTGTCTAATTTACTCAAAGAGTGCCATCAAAGAACGGGTACAGTGCTTTAATGGCTTCAGCATTTTGCTTGTTCAAGGTTTTGAAATGCCAATTCTGCTCTGATATTTTTAGTAACTTCCTCTAAAAGTTTCTAGTAACTTTTCAACACAAGACAGCTTCCCTCAAAATACCCTGTTCTCTTAGTTTATGAGCTGAATATAGGGAAGCATTCAGCAAATGTGCAAGCATACTCCTATCCCACATGGAAAGTGAGCTACTGGATAAAGAAGTGTGCTTATTAAAGAAATCTATTTATATCTTGCAAACATTAAGAACACTGAAAAGAGGCCCCTCCCACCCCAGTTCTTATTGAATGGACTTTAAGAAGCCGAACACCAATAAGAACATGTGATTTTTGTACTTTCAAAATCTAGACACGGGCTTTTTAAAAAAATGACCCTAGTGAGTAGTTTATCATCAAACAGAATTTCGCATTTCTCCCTAAAGCAAAAAAGTAGTTTATAATGGTTTATTTTACATGTTTATGAGTGACTGTAATCTGTTGGACAGACTAAGTTATAGCAAATTATTTTCTCATTCACTATTTAAGAATGTTTTTCATTAGGCATCCTTGAAGTAAACTGTTTTTGAAATATCTCTGAGTATTAAACATAGATTGCTGTAAGAACTGAGAGCAAAAAAAAACTTGCTGTAAAAAAAGATGCATAAAACTAGCTGAATAATTTCCTACATAAGGTGCAATGATTTGCAACAGAAAGTGGTAACAAACCTCACCTTGAAAAGAAGCATCACAGCTGCATTTTGGAAGCAGGGATCTTTCCATTTACTTGCCCAACAACTGAAATGTATTATGCAGTATGATTCCCAACATGTTAAGAAGTATATGCAAGATAGCAACAGACACCAGGATCTGCTTCTTCTTTTAAAAATGAACTCTCATTTTAAAAAAAATACAGTAGTCTGAATTTCCCACTTCTTGTACATTTGTTGTTGCTGTTGTTTAGTTTTCCCAGGTTTCTTAAAAAACACACGCACACACACAAACCTGAACACTGTAAGGCTAAAGTATTTCCATATGGATGGCACCAAGTGTTGTTTCACAAAATATAAGCATGTGCTGTAAGAAAAGGGCTGGGTGGAGGAATAAAAGAGTGTTGTACCTACACTGAATTTTACAAAAAAAGAGACCATCCATATACATATGCACACATATGCATATATATATGCATGCTGCAAGTTTTTTAATAGAAAAAGTTTCCATAAGTATAACTCACATAAATTTCTTTGAAAGGTTGTTAAAATATCAACATTAAAGAGACAAGAAACTGCAAGAAAACATCTAAGAAAAGCAGGCTGTGATACAACAAGCATTTGTTAAGAAAAGCTCAGAAGTGCATTAGTTCTGGTGAGAGATATATGAGCAACAGCTCTTACGAGATGTAGACCCCATTCTGTAACTATGGGCTGTCCATATACTGTCATAGTCAGAGTCTTCAGAGAGGTCGGAAGGCTCCAAACGAGAAAGGCTACTGCGACGACCCAAGGAGTCTAGACTTGATTGGTCATCATCAGCCAAGACGTGATTATGCATCAGGTCAGTGCCTTGCCATGCTAAGGATGTATGGGGTGGAATGGAATGGTGGATGTCGACAGGCAGAGGTGGGATGAGGAAGACATACAGGATAAGCCACAACCAAAACACATGAAACAAAAGCAAAAGGTGACGGGAAGAAAAGGAAAAGAGAAAATATTGTTAAGAAGGCACCAAATTTTGTCACCCTCATTTTGGTAGGGCTTTCTGAATAAATTATAGTTGGTTTTCTGTACAACTTATATCAATCAGATATATATATTTTAAAACACCAAACGCTTTTGTCACAACGAGGACCTGCATTTGTTTTCAATCTCTTTCTCAGAATGCGCTTTGCTTGCATATCCATTTATATGTGATAGTTACTAGTTTCTAGTTACTATTTTGAAAAGTAGGGGAATGAGCTATATTGACCTATAATGCATCAAAAGAGCAATCTTAAAATGAGAGGATACTTATAAGTACACTGCCTAGCACTTTTCAGAAAATGTTTCTTCTGAAAAATGATACACAGACAAATGATACACAAATGTTGTAATTCAAGCGGAAACAAACTGGAAAAAGTACCTAAATTTGGTGGAGTTCAGCTATCACTCTCCTAAGTCCATTTTATTGCCCAGTATCTCTAAAACACTTTCCCCTTAAATACTGATGTTTCACAATATCATTTCTATGGAAGCACTTTTGCAATGACTTCCATTGAGAACTGTATATCAGAGGTTTTGTTTGGGCAAAAGAATCAGCAAGGAGGAGTCTCGGCACTCTACTATCTCACAGAAATGCATTTTTTTAGAAACGACATGCCAATTAGTCAACAATTATAACTGGAGTCAATAATAATTACTCTATAGGAGTCATTTCAAACCACCCCTGAAAGTGATGTGAAGTAGGATTCTCAAAGTGAAAAATTGTGTGAACTCTCTCTACAGTTATACTGCATGAGCCAAAGATGATGTTCTCCTGGTGGAACTTCGTTGGAGCCAAGAAACTCCCTTGCATACCACCAAACCTTGTTGGGGTGATGGCAAACTATAGCACATAAGGTGAATAGAAGGAGCCAGTACTGATATTATCTACTAGATCAGTGCTCTTCAAAATGGTAGTCCCTGGACCAGTGCTGATCTATGAACTACTGGCCGCTGGTCCTTGACAGGCTTCCAGGAGAAAAAGAAACAATTCTAGCCAATAGGCACAAATTCAGTACTGACCTGTAGTGTGAGGGAAAACGATTAATTGCTGGTCCCTCATAAGAGACAGTTTGATAAACACTGCACTTTATGGTTGTTAAATTTATGCCACTATTCTAATTGTTCTGAATCAGGGAAAATGTACACATCTACAAGCTCAGATTGATTTCATATATGCAGCCTATGGTTTGGGACCTGATGGAAACAACAGTACATCCATCCGTTTACAGGATTTTAAACGTATCAGTTTAAGTCTCTGGGGGTTAACGTTTTGGAATAGCTTGATCAAAATTACCAGGATTACATGGGGAGGTATGTTAAGCAGGCAACTGAAACATTTCGGCCGAACTGCTATCCATCATATCACAGACTGAGCATGTGAAGTAAGTCAAAGTCTGGACATTATTAAAAGATTCTGGATTCTCTTCAATAGAAGGGGAAAACTATGGAGCCAGAAGCAGTATCTGTGGCATTATAGCACACATGGCTCTGTGCTGGAGCACATGAGAATAAAACATTCATCATAATATTGAAAGCAACTATGGATTTCTTGGGGGTGGCTGTTGCTGTTGCTGTCTCCCTTCAAGCTGTTTCCAATATATGGTAATTCTAAGGTACAGCTATCGCATGGTTTTTGGATTACATCTACTATTTTCCCAAGAGCCGTTCCACATGATCAGTCAGTTAATGAATCATGACATTTTAGCCATAGCCAATATTTATGAAGCAATCAACAAAGACACTGCAATATCATGTCAATGTGTAGTACGGAGGAGGAAGAGCAATTGCTCAATAACAGGATACATGTTTGCAAGTAGAAGGTTCTAATATTGATCCTTGTCCTCTCCAAATGGGAGTGGAAAATTCTTGCTTGAAATTCTATTTATCTATTTCTAGTCTTAATAGAGACAAGGCTAAGACAACTACTGTCTTCGGCCTGCAACTCCCATAATCTCTCACCTCTGGAGGCCAAAACAGCTGCCCAAAATCATAGTATCTCTGTTCCATTTCTAAGAATTAGAAGGCACTTTTATCAACAAAGCAAACTCTTGAATCTAAAACTAGTGAGAGAGAAAGAAGTACAAAAAGAGGAAAGGCAACAAAATGATTGAAGGAACAACTATCACTGCTAGCTGGAAATAGACAGCTAAGTGACGGAATATTTATTAGATGCATATCCTAATGTCTGACAGAATGATTCAGGCAACAAAGAAAAAGTGGTGCTCAACTTTAGCAGTTTTAAAAAAACAGTTAATGGGACCTATGACACCTACAGAACCATATTTTATGTAACAAAGTTGATAGGAGTAAGTGTGCAGCATGTGGGTAGGCCTGTATTTTTCTAAGAAAAATATTTGGAGTGTTCTCTTTGAAACAGGGAAATTTAGTCACAAGTAAGTTGGGTAGGCAATACCTAAATATAAACTTGAGACTATACACATTTGCCTACACAGTAGACTGACTATGTGGAAAGGCTCTTGGAGAAAACTTTTTGTTGCCTTGAGAACAGCAGCCAGCATACAAAGTTAAAGACATGATTTAAGAAAGAACGAGAAGAGAAGGGAGAAAACCCTAACCGCTAGCTATTTTCAATTCCAGGCCTCTTTTGCAAAAACTTATTTTTCCATTTGAAAACAAAGATGTTTCCTGTCCCACTTTTCATGCTACAGATTTCCAGAACCCTTGCTTTCTCAGCTGTGCCAAATTTGCATATCCAGATGCAACATCTCCAGAATAATAACTGGGATCCTAGCAGACTTACTGAATTTGCAAATGAGGACGAGGTAAAATGTGAGTACAGAAGTAAGGATAAACTGGAACTTTGTTCTGAAAATGTCCTGCAGCACTACTATATGGACACTTGGGCTTGGTGCAGACACACACATTCCCCAGTCTCTTAAACCATGATTAAGGGACTGAGAAATATCAGGCCTACAACAGGCCTTATCCTCAAAGTTTAGGGCCAAAACCAATTGCTTTTGTCAATTTCTGTTAAATTACATGTGGGTAGACAATTTTTAAAAGAAATTAATATATATCAGCAGCCTTGAAAAAAGAAGCCGTGCACCCAATTGCTGTTATCTTCTTTTTCATTGCAGATAAATGCAAATAAAAGCTGTAGATTTTTTTGATGTATGCAATGAAATTTATCGCACTATGTATATTTTCATAATATACATAGAAAGGGGAAAACAGCAAAAAAGCAAAATACATTTTGCACCTGTTGTGTGTCTCTGTAAGCACACATTTGCATAACCCAAACAAAAGATGCTTTCATATAACATTTCTCATTACTTTAAATACATTTTAAAATGACAAACACCAACTACGCACAGTTGCACCATTTAAAGCATCAACAATTTGTTTTGTCCCTCATAAAATCTTAGTAGCTGTTATTTCAAAGCAAGTGTAGAGTTAAAATAAAACTGAAAGACATTTCACAGTTACAGAGAATCATAATAAGAAAGACACAAGAATATAACATAACAAATAATTCTGCTACAGCAAACACCAATAATTTATTATGATGGCTCAAAAATATTACAGATGTTTCCATAGAGGTTTTAATCTGACCCGCTACATATTAAAAGACTAACAAGTAGTCCTACAAAACATTTCAACAATGTTCACAGAAATATCAGCACTGGGAAGATTTATTGATGAAAATCCAAGATTCTCAGCACAGCAAACTGACAATTTTGGAGAACAAATACATACACTGTAAAGTAGCTTTATGGTTAATGGCAAAACTGTGGAATCTGGAATAAACAATGCTGAAGTGTTTTTTTCACCCCTTTATGTAGATATAACATGTGCTGACAGATTTTCCTATGAGGTTCGGTGCTTTACTTACAATAGAGGATCTTTACCATTGCAGCCTTGCTAAAGATTAAATAGCCTGAGTCCCAATGACATAGTGTTAAGTAGGAGATATATAACTGTGTAATTGAAGACAGAGTCTTTGCTCAACATATAGTTATTTGAAAAACTAAATTGTAAAAAGTAAAGGGCCAATATTAATAACTGTAATAAAGTTACGTATCTGAATTCTTTCCATTTGTTTATGTTCCACAGTCTTTCCCAGTAGAAATAAAAGGCCACATTTGCAAAGAATGGTGAGCTAGGATTCTATAACATATACAAATTTCAAACTTGTGCCTACAAGTCTTCATGCCTGTTCGGAACCGCCTGAAATGGTTTGTCTGGTGTGTCATTTAAATTCAGGATCTGTTTTGTTACACTATTTACAAGTCATAGGTTTCTTTTTGGTTTATAAATCCAGACTTTGAAACAGTGCAACAGGCCAGGAACCCCGATTTAGACTACTTACTGAATAAACCATATTTAATTTGAATTGCCACTTCTGACAGCAGAGGAATCCAAGTGGGGGTTAAAAGGATGCACATAGTTCATTACCTGTTGCATGTGAATACACCTAAACATGCCTGAAAGAAGTTTTAATCTTGCTGAACATGAATACATATGCCATTCTATTCTATAGACAGCCATAGACTTATGATAATGAAAATCCACTAGGCTTGAACATAAGCTCTGAACACAAATATACTATCTTAAGACTTGCTACACTAACAGGTACATTTGGGATGCTCAGGAGCCACTGCATTAGCATAACTTCAGAAGGCATTACATTTAGCCAAAATTACATGAATATTATTATAAACTGGAAACATTAATTCAGGAGAGAAGTGCTATCAGCAGCAATTCACTACTACTTCATACAAGTACAAGAAGGGGCAATGTAAGCTTTGCATGCACTACTGTCTACCCCTTCACAAGAGATACACCTATAACACTGCTATTTCCTTTCTCAATTATCACATAAGCAATGAGACTTTCCCATCAGAGAAATGGCCTAGGACAGTTCATAATACGAGCCCCCGGTGGCGCAGTGGGTTAAACCCCTATGCCGGCAGGACTGAAGACTGACAGGTCGCAGGTTCGAATCCGGGGAGAGGCGGATGAGTTCCCTCTATCAACTCCAGCTCCTCATGCGGGGACATGAGAGAAGCCTCCCACAAGGATGATAAAAACATCAAACCATCCGGGCATCCCCTGGGCAACATCCTTGCAGACGGCCAATTCTCTCACACCAGAAGCGACTTGCAGTTTCTCAAGTCGCTCCTGACACGACAAAAAAAAAGTTCATAATACAGCAAACATGTGTCAGGAAATCCCTTAAGTATCATCAATGCACAGAAGTCTCATCTCTGAACCTTGACCAACAGAACCAAAGAAAAGACAGTATGTTGGAGGCAGTATCAATCTGGCTCTTACTGCACTTTGAAAGGGCTATCTCTGCCCACTGTTCATATGATCTGATCAAGAACTTTTAGACCTAACTTTCTATGTGTAAAGGGAAAACATGCTTACTAAATCTGGGAATTGTAAGCATGAGTTGCAAACAAACCCAACAAGATTTCTCCCCATATCCTTTGTCCTTATGACACAGAACAAGATAAGAGTTAAAACTTTACAAACATTTATCTGTATTTGTAATAATTTCTTTGCATGTTATTTCCATCCCTCTTCTCAGCCAGAATGAAGAACTGCAGCTGCAGTTGTTACGACTTGCTGTATGATTAGGAGAGCAATAATATTTGCGCTAAAACTTACTTGAATTTAATGTTTGGCGTGTTTTGGCACTTGTGCAGTAAGCTTCTATTACTTTTAGTATCTGAGCATCTTCTTCTAATGCAGCAGTACCTGGAGTGGGTGGAGACAGAAGATGTTGATTACTAAATCAGCTTCAGGACCACAGTATCACCTCAGACAAACACCTCTCGACCAATATACCAATTCTACATTCAAATACCTTCAAAATAGGTATGGGCAATCCATGGTTCTAAATGGTTCTAAAGTACTTACAAAACTAGGGGGCGTTGGTGCTTTGCTTCTACAGTGTTGATAACTGGTGGTGAAAATTTCAGAACTCTTAAAACTTTCAAAAATTCATTATTATTTTATTAATGTTGATTTTATGACAGAACCAATTAAGAACTGCCATTTATAATGAAAATTTCACCACCACAACTTTAGCAACACTGTAGAAACAAAGCACCAGCACCCCCTAGTTTTTTAAGCACTTTAGAACCATTTAGAACCATGGATTGCCCATGCCTACTTCAAAAGAACCAAAACTAATAAACACAGATGTCAACAAACTCTTTATATAAATGTGTGGCCCTTCCCTCTTCCTTTCAAGCAAATTTACTGGTTAGGATAAATTAGGAAGGTAGATTTCAGTTTCAGAACAAATCAGGATATGACACTACAGTTTGAAATTAGCGGAATGAATTTATTAATTACGGACTTAGCAAAACGATGGCCACCAGGCTGGCTTTTTTTTGTATTTTTATTGTATTAATGTAATGTTTTAATTGTTATAATTATTGTCACTATGTATTTTATTGTGTGAATTGTAGGCATCAACGTATGCCGGTTGGAAGCCGCCCTGAGTCCCCCTTAGGGGGTTGAGAAGGGCGGGGTAGAAGTACCTGAAATAAATAATAAATAAATAGTTCAGCTGGTTATGTTCCAAAGCTGATAAGCTAGTGTTTCTGATTTCAACAAAATTATAAATTATATCTAGATGTCCTGCCTTGCTAGCTAGCGCACATGAAGGAATTGTATGGCTGCCAAATGAACTAAATGCATGTATAAATGGCTTTCCCTTGTAACTTCCCCATCCAGAAACTGTACTGTGGGTAAACTTCACACCATGACGGACACAGCAAGTACATTGCTGAAAGCCACTACTGCTTCACCAACAACATACCATTCAATTCATAAAAATCTCTGAAGCCATTATCTCTGAATTATTATCTATGGCAAAGCAGTACTATAACACCTAATCAAGAAATCATGGAGTAATAGCTGGTGTTAAGGGTTTTGTAACATTATACCTATAATTGTAAAACAGAATTAAATTAATCCATATCACATCTTTTTGATTTAAAACATAAAACATTTTGAATCCAATACTGAAAGTAATTTTTTAAAGAAAACAACAAAAAGGATGTCAGTCAGTACAGCTTCACTGTAAGAAAATCAAGCCCAGTTTTTCAGACATTGGGGTCGACTTCATGCAAGCTGAAACTGCTAGGAATTCTGGTTCACCAAGAACAAGCTGGTATAGGGATGCATGCTACATGGTTGCACTAAGCTACCATGTAGCATGGTAAATTATCTAAATTATCCTGGTTATGACTGCAACAAACCTTGGGTTTCTGGTTCAAGATAATGCTCAAGAAACTATTGATGGAATGTTTTCTAGCTATTTCTCCTGACAGAAAAAACAAATAGGAGTGATCCATCAGCATGCCTGAGAACATTTGCTCCTTTTTAGCCATTCTTGCTTAGCATGATATGTACATTTATTCAGTGCATACATATCAGAAAAAATAAAATTTCTGTAAATGAAATATTTTGCATCCCCAACACCAATAATTTGTATAATTGAAAGCACAACAATCTCAGACTGTCTAGTGAATTTTGAAAGGCTAGAATAGTATACAGAAGAAAAAAGTGTGACTCCAAATGAACTCAAAAAGCAAGGATAAATCCTTGATAACCACTGTTATGTTTTCTTAAAGTGAATTGGAATTAATAAATGACTCCCGTTGTGTAATATGAAGTACAAGTTCTATTCACAGTGGATAAATATAAGAACATCAGATCCTTTTAAGAAGAAAAAAACAGCTGCGAATGAGAACCTTTTGGATTCAGGAGAAGAAAATGAAAGGCTTCCCTCCCTCACATACCAAAAATACATACTTTTTCTCAGTGCAAATTCTTCTTCTGATGGTTTCCTTTCAGGCTTTCGCTTGGGGAGCAGTTTTTTCATGGTTTTAGGACTTTTGCTGAGATCCTGGTTGTGTTAAAAAATAAACCAAACCACATACATACAATGAAAACCTTTTTATTTCACACCATCATAACACAGAATTTAAACAGCAATTTGCTATTGTTGATTGCGCTTTACATAAACTGTTCCCTGCCTTTTGGGGGGACAATTCCAGTTGTGTTCTGGAAATCCATCACAAGAGAATTTATCTTTATTTAATTTCGATGGAAAATGTTCTGTGCTTTCCTTCCGGCACATGGTCACAGATAGGGGCAGCAGCCCTGAGAAGGGCATGTACATGCACTCTTTGGCTCTACTGAGCAAATCTTGCAATTTATATGTCTAGCTCAAAAAGTGGACAAGAAGAACGTGACAAAAGCCTGCCAAACACATCGAGTCTTAGGTTTTTCATATGGATCCACCCTCTGCTTTCCCTTTGTGCATAACCAGCTTCCCTTCTCTGTGTCCCTGCTTTGGTCCAATTTTAGGCTAGGTAGCAATATAAAACATGTTCTCAACATATTTTATGTATTTTTTCAGAATAGGAAAAGTGGATTCTTGATTCTTCTAATCTTTGAGGAGAAAAAAAAATCCTTTTCATTGTTTCCCTGGGCCTTTTTATATTTTGGTGGCACATTAACAGGCAGTCCCAAGTTACAAACAAGATAGGTTCTGTAGGTTTGTTCTTAAGTTGAATTTGTATGAAAGTCAGAAAAGGTACATTTTAAATGTATCTCCAGTCAAATTAAATACTTGTATATGTGTGTAAACTTTCGATAATGCTCATTTCTTATCAGTAAATGTTTGATTTTTATATCTATTCTATACTTATATACCCGAAGTCAGGAAAAAAAATTGGATTGAAAGGATCACAATTGGAAAAAGTTCAATAAGCCCTGGCCTACACCAGAGAGAGAAAGCAAGACTAAGGTTATCTTTATACAATGTACTAACTATATGGTCAGATTTTGCAAAATGAATGTTTAACCAGCCCAAGAACATTACTTCCTTATTGTAACAGGGCTTTCCCTTTATTCTAAGAAATGTGGTTGCAGAGGAAAGTTGCATGGCATCAGAGCTGAAAGGAGGTTAAAGCTCAGAAGCTTCCACTCAACCCATCCATTAGAATAGTAGTCCCCAACTTGTGGTCTTCCAGATATTTGGAACTTCAGCTCTCAGAATTCCTGACAGTTGTGCTGAGTTGGCTGGGGTTCTGGGAAACACCTGGAGTACCACAGGTTGGGTACTACAGCACTGAAAGAATGATTCTGTAGTTTAGAAGCACAGGGTACATGCTTGCACAGAGTTGTGAGCTGAAATGAATGCATTTTCTAACCTGGTTTCTGATTCTCACCTCTTTGTAACAGAGTGCTGCTGAAGGCCGTAATGGAGGTGCTGGTCGTAAACAGCTCAAACTCCATGGCTTGGGAGTTTTAGGAGGCTCCAGGGGTCCCCAGTTTATAGTGGTATGAGGCGTCCCATGGTGTGAAGGATGTGGAAGAGTGTGGTACACTGGAGTTAGTGGCATTTGCTTACTATCTGCATGCCTGCTGGATGGTGTTAAAGGATGAGAAGGAAGCTGCCAAATGTATAAAGATTACAAGAACAAAGAAAAAGAGTGATAAGAAGGAATGATCCTGAAATGTCTCTCATAGGCTAAGATGACCCACTCTGTATATCATGTTTTGAGCCTAATGATCACCTTTTTTGGCTAAATTACATTGCCAAAATTAATGTGTGCATTTGATTCAATTGTGCATTACAATAGCACACATAACCAGGCTCAGTCCCGTGCAGTTCTTCACCGGACTCATTCACCAGGCTGTTAACCCCCCCCCCCCACCCACCCAAAAAAAAAATCAGCTTTGAAGGCCCAATGAATGTGGCTGTGGGGAATCATACACAGCCTTGGTCCGACAGAGCGGGATGGCTTCCCAAATGACTTCATTTATACTGCCTCCCTCCCTCTTGTGCTATGCATGCACTATTGGGCACATTAGATTCCTTTTTTGTAATATCCAACTTCAAAACTGAGGTGTGAATTACATACAACAGTGCATTATACTCAAGTAAATACAATAATGTATGCCTAATAGTTATTGTCACTGAGTTTGATCAAAACCTGAGGAGCATCACTTTGAACAGGTTTGTTACACCCTTATACAGCTCCTAACACTGTCTCAAGCTATTAGACATGATCTTAATGGAATAACATTAATAAGCTGCAGGTAATGTGGGAAAATAATAACAGTTTTGAAGCAGAATTCTTAGCAACCAATATTTTGGCTGTCATAGGACCAATTCATACATGAGTAGAAGCTCATGGGTCGGACAAGTAACATTGCTAGTTTTAATACCAGTGTCACCAAACCCAGGAGAGGATCAATGCTAGCATGAGAAGCAATGGTCTTTCTCCAAATCCACGTGGCTTTGTTTATCGACATCACCACAGCAGCATGGGGCTAAACCACATAGAAATACAGAAATATCTTACAACTGCACAGTGATTCGAAAAATATTTCTTAATTTTAACAAAAAAAAATGATTCCACATACTCGGTGATACTGCCTCTACCATTTATTTATCTAAATGCATCAGGTAACACACTTATTTATAAATATGGGGCTGAAGGCCCATGGCCTCTTACCGTGTGAGATGGCACAGAATGAGGTTTAATAATAGGAGTCCCAATAGCTGTCACTTTGGTTTGCTTTTGCAGATGTTCCACCCATTCATGCAAATCTTGTTGATTATTACAAGATACTAGAATCCGTTCAATCATATTTCCTAGTATCAAAACAGAAGGAAATATCCATAAAATATTTTTTTAATTCCTCATGTGAGTAACACCTGAAACACCAACATGCTTTATGCTCAAGGCAATAAACAAAATAAAATGGCATTTGATATTTTTTCTTGGATCCTTTCTCCCCATCATATTGCCACCAACTGATGCTTTTAAAAGTGTGTTTCTGGTTAAGTGACTTTACTGTTAGACCTATTATTTTTAGAAGTACATTGCCATTTTCAACCTATTATGGTCCTTCAAAATTACCAATAGTTGGCTATAGGACCTAAGGGATATTTGCAGGTCTAGATTTAAGTACCAATAACATAACAGCTTTACAATTTTTCTCCCTATTGAACAATTCTTTTTCTACAGATCACGGACATATCAAGGAGAATTTTCACATGCATTTTGGAAAATTGGGTCAAGGCTAAAATGCCTTGGTGATGTTAACTTGCTCAGCAGAAAACATGACCTACCCAACTTTTGGCTGCCATCACTTTGTGAACCTCTTATAGCACTGATATCAGTTGATTTCCAGGCATAATCCCTACAGAGCATCAGTTCCCTAAATTAACCTTCCTGAGATAATTGGAGAAATTTATGATTGGTGACTTTGGGAAGGCCTTTCTATTGTGGTTTCATTTTTTATGGAATACCTTTTGTAAATAAAAATCCTTACATAATGAAAACCAGAAATTCTGTCCGAGTAACAATTAAGTAGATTTTCATACTGGAGTGCTGATAGTACCATTTTAATAAAGTTTTAACTGGGTTCCATGGGATATTTTTAAGTGAAATATGTTTTGAGTTCAATTTTTTTTAAAAAGTCAACAGATACATTTTGAAAACATAATCACTATTGAATTCAGAAATGACCATGGCTGAAAGGGAGCTCTGGCGTGGGTGGGTTCATGAGGTCATGAAGAGTCGGAAGCGACTGAATGAATAAACAACAAATATACAATATAAACGTAATAAATGAAAATGCTTGAACTCATCTGTTAATCATTTAAGCAAGCCACTGGATTGTTTAGAAACAGAATGGGGAATATATGGTCTATCAAATATTGCTGAACTTTAGTTCTTGTCATCCTGAACTATAAAATATGCTGGTTAGGTCTGATGGGAGTTGTAACCAAACATTTTCTGGATAGCCGCACTTTCCTAAGCTCTGGGTTTACATACGTAAGGTATTTCATGTTGCCCACAATTACACAATCAAAAGGAGATAGCAATGCGCAAGGATATTACCTGAAATTTCAAATGCATTTCTGTGATTATCACTATCTTCTAGTTTTACAATGGTCATGCCTGTCAGTGGCAGTTTTCCCTAAAAGCAAATAAATCACCAATTAAATAAAATCAAGATACAAAAAGATCTTAAATGAAAAATGAACACAATACAAAGGATTTTTCCCACAGCAAAAGGTGAAGACAGGACACATCCTGAATGATCTTAAAGAAAGGGACTTCATACTCGGAGGCTCTGCAACCTATTTTATAATATTAATGGCACTTATTCACAGAACTTTGTTTTTCCCATGTCAGGAGCGACTTGAGAAACTGCAAGTCGCATCAGGTGTGAGAGAATTGGCCATCTGCAAGGATGTTGCCCGGGGAGGAGACTTATCTCATGTCCCCGCACAGGAAGCTGGAGCTAACAGACAGGAGCTCACCCCACTCCCCAGATTCAAACCGCCAACTATTCGGTTGTGTCCTGCCGACACAAGGGTTTAACCTATTGTACCACTGGGGGCTCCACTCCCAGAGCTAACACAGTATTTCAGTGTAACTTTTCCAGATTGATAGGTAGCTAATACAGATGATCAAACAACTGAAGTTAATGGGCTGCATCAAGATTCAATTTTGCCCTATCAAATTCAGCAAAACAAGTTACTCATACTCAACATGCATTTGTGCCTTCAAGTCACCTGTGAACACCATGAATTTCATAGGATTTCTTAGATAAGAAATACTCAAGAGGTTTCCTTTCTCCAAAACACAGCCTACAACACCTGGTACACACTGACAGTTTCCCATCCAAGAACTAACCAGGGTTGACCCTGTTTAACTTCAGATAGCAGTGTTTTACTCAACATCTAACTAATCCTTGTTCTTTTGGAATATTTCAAGTGTAATTAATTTGCATGCAGTCCAATATAAATTATGCTAATGCTTCTTTTACCTGATAGATAAATCCACTCATCCTAGGGCTGGCAGACAACATGAGCAAAATGTTAGGAAAGAGGAGCAAGTATCTTTCATTCTTTTCCTTATTAAAAAAAAACAGAAATAGGAAGTTAAAGAAAACATTAAAATTTAATGATATGACATAAATATTAAGATTATATAATATGTTCCCAAATACTTGCCCTCTATCTTAATTTTTAATTAAGGAAACATTTGGCCTTCGAGCAACAACAAAAACAACAATACCAGCTTTGGATGTCCTTTCAAGTTTCTCCTAAACTACATACTTTATCAGAATGTAATAGACTGAGAACCTCTGCTTTTGGAAATAGAGTGAATTTCAGAGGAGGTGACAAATTTTCTACCCAAATGTGTCTGAATTGTGCTGATGTAAGTGTTAAGATTATGCAAAAATGTTTAATACATTCCATCTCCCTTAAAATATATTTTAGTAGCTTATCTGAAAGATTTACTCACCCCTAACCATTTTTCCCTTTTTGTAAATGACGAATGAGGAAAGTATTTAATAAGCCATCAAGGAAGACAGACTTACAACAGATAATGTTTACAGAGTGAGCAAAATACTGTATTGTACTGCATTTCTTCCAATTGTCAAAAGAAATACAATTTCAGCAATCTGGCAGAAAAAGTTAGAGAAGTAAAAAATTCATACCTCACTACCAGCACATTGAATCATGACTTGTGACATGTAAATAACATTTCCCAATGTTTTGATGTCCTCTCCTTCCCAACAGCGGATGGCTTCTGTTAGTATCTGGAGTTCAAGTTCCTTCCTTTTCCGTACTTCTTGACACTGTGCCTATTGGACATGGCAGGAGAGGATGCCATTAAACACAAATGCACTAATCAAATAACCACATTTGTTCAAGACCATGTCTGAAATCCTTTAAAGAATGTAGAAAAAGAAAGTTCTTTTCAAAAGCCATAACGATCTCTTTGGAGAATTGAATTCTACATGTTAGTCCTTCTTATATGGAGGAGCACAATGACAACACAGATGGTAATCACACCATTAGATGCTGAACTACTGTTGTTCTAAAGACTATGCTAGCAGTCCTCAACTTGTCCCCCTTCAATGTTTCTAAACTGCAGTTCTCATAATCCCTCATCTCTGACTATACTGACTAGGGGTGACAGGAATTTAGGCCAATAACTTCTGCCAGTGTGACCCAATAACTCTTAATGCAGAGTTTCTCAGCCTGGGGGTCAGGACCCCTGGGGGGGGGGGTCACAAGGAAGTGTCAGTGGGAAGAAATAGTATTTTCTGACCTCATTACCTCTGAGGATGCTTGCCATAGATGCAGGCGAAACGTCAGGAGAAAAATTGCCTCCAGAACATGGCCATGTAGCCCGGAAAAACCTACAACAACCCACAGTATTTTCTGTTGTTCATGGGGGTTCTGTGTGGGAAGTTTGGCCCAATTCTATCATTGGTGGGGTTCAGATTGCTCTTTGATTGCAGGTGAACTATAAATTCTAGCAACAACAACTCCCAAATGACAAAATTAATCCCCCCCCCCCAAAAAAAAATCCCACCAGTATTTAAATTTGGACGTATAGGATATTTGTGCCAATTTTGGTCCAGGGAATGAAAATATATCAGATATTTACATTACAATTCATAACAAAATTACAGTTATGAAGTAGCAATGAAAATATTTTTATGGTTGGGGGACATCACAACATGAGGAACTGTATTAAGGGGTCACGACATTAGGAAGGTTGTGCCTCAAGTATAAAGAGCACTTTGTAGGAAATTTTCAAATATATTTTCAGTACTATGAGGTTCACCACCCTTTCCTTAGTGAAATATACAGGCACCTCAACTATAGCACTCAATATCAAATTTGTCTCTCTCTGAAATACCGAGCACAATTGGGTGAATGCATAAAAAAAGAGGAACACCTATTTAAACATATAGTTCTGCATTCCAATGACAGGCTTCCCATTTAAGTGCCTATTAGAATTCACAGAAGAAAAAAACTTTTATACAAACAAGCTAATATTGCATTAACAGAGGTCAATGCTCAAACAGGAAGCTGACTGCACAGAACATCTGAAGAGGTGCTGCCTTTATGCATAACAAACTTCAAAATTGAGCCTTAGCTAAAGAAAGCTTGACTATGAGTACTCAATGGACTTCAGGTGTAAACACCTGACATAAGTTATATGACTTTGATGTCACTTAAACTATCATTTCCATCTTATGAAATGCCAGAATTTGGTATTGTACTTAGAATTCTCTGCTAAAAAGTCCTACTATGGGATTACCAAAAGGGCAGTGGGCATCTCTAGTAGAAGGTTTTACATATCTTAGTATGTCAGGATTTTATAGGATGGAGACATTATAATTCTGGTATCAAACAATTGTACTTTTTCAGTGTGCATACAGCCCAAGAAACTGTGCACACTCATTCTCACTCTCGGTTGGGCTATCTTCAGGAAGACAGACAATGACAACAGCCTCACCTCCTGCAATAGGGGGTCCTTTGTAGGAGGGTTCACCTACAAAGGACCTTTTGTTCCTATCTGCAGAATTTTGTATAAATGTTTGAGTTCATGTAGCGTCACACAGATCTTACTTGCTCCATTTATCTAAACCTTTTCCCCTGAACCCAAATCAAAGCTATCAACAGAAACATTTATTTTAAATTATTTCATTTCGAAACATTTCTCCCATTAATCACATATCATTACCACTCTCCCTGCTATTCCTATGATGTTTAGACTATTATATTTCCTTTCACAGACTTTTTAATTCCAACATTACTTACAGAAAGATTTTTGAAGGCTGTCATGGATTTTTGAATGTCAGGTCGATCTGGATGATAATCCTAAAATTAAAAATTAAAACGATACAAAAAATTACTTTTCTGTAACTCTTGCTAGAAAGCATTAACATCATATTAAATTAACAAGTTATATTTCTCACAGCTACACTCTTTTAGCACATTAAACTTCTAGATCAGTCATGGAACTTGTATGAGCAACCATATTTTAAAAGGCCCGTTCCCACAAAATTATCTTCTGTTGATGTGTACAGCTTTATGGGTGTTCCTTTTATCATTATCAAGTTTTCCTAGTATAGAAATTAAAATGAGAAAAAGATAGCAATATTCATGGACAAATAAATTTGAAGAGATTTTGCTATAATTCTAAAACAAATCAATCCATGACAAATGACATTTGACAATTGAATGTTCTAGTACTTGTTAAGATATAAAATGAAAGCTAATAGCTCTGTGTAAACAAACAATCATCCAATCTCTTACGTGAAATAAGAATCTGTGTCCAATTGTGTGTTTTTTTTTTCTCTTCTTCTGAATAAAATGTGTAGTACATTCATACACAATGTTGAGCAATAGGCTCATATGGAATCAGTTCAAAACTCTTGAGGGGAAATAGCTTAACAGTTTTCTCCAGTAGATACACTTCAATCCTAGCAAATTAAAGTTGAATATCCCAAGGAATGAATAGTGAGCAACATGGAGAAAGGAGCTGAAACCTTTCTTTTTTGGACCCACCTGCCCAGCCAATATCCTTTAAATCTTAGAAACACAAAAGGTGTCTACTTTGAAGAATAAGGTGTTTAAAATCAATACACAAACTCCTTGATGTGTGTGTAAATCCGTGCGTGCTACTGAAGATACTGTCCATATTTACATTTCTGAAAGGCACAAATAGCTCTTCAACTATCAAGTACCCACCTCGTATTAAGTGATCCCTGGTAGGTTTGAAGCAAGGTGCACCACAAGGTGTAAATTCTTCAAAAATGTGGCCCTGCACACAAACTATTGGAATATGAAAAGGAAATACCCTAGCATGATTCAAAAGTTCAACCCCTGAAGTGTAATGGTCTCTGACACTAAAAGGATGTGGACAAATAGTCTTAATATATAATTGCAAAATCATCTTCAAGATGGAAAATAAAAGCTGTTAAAATATACCTCCATGTGTCTTTCAAGCTCTTTGAGTAACGTAGGGTATTTATCCAGGCGCATAAATGGTTTGCTGAGGCCCGTTGTCAATACAAGAATCCCAGGACTGTTGGCTCCTTTCATTTCCATGAATTCTCCTAGCTCTTCACTGTTCATAAATTAGAGGAGGGAGGAGAGAATAAAAGAAAATCATGAAATCCAGAAAGAAGTAAAGCATCCCAGTTCTTTAGGAACAATATCTCATATGAAAAAGGATAAACCCTAGTCATAAAACACGTATACATACTTAACATAATATGAATTTAATTTCTGTAAAACAGAAAAACAGGTATTTTACACTTAATGCTCTCCCCCTAAATTAAAATTAAAAAGACTATTTAGTTTAAGGTGAAAAGAAAGATTACAAGTTTTTAACTAGTAAACAAATTCCAATAATATTAATCATCAGCCTATTTTTAATACTCCTAACAGAAGATACAGTTCAAGAATATTAAGAGATTTTCCTGTATTTATACACTTGCAATTAAGCCTTACATTATTCCCAAACTAATGAGGTGACATCTTGGGGGAAAAATCTGGATTATCAAGATTACTAAAATGTCACAAGTCACAAAAAGTTCTACCTTTTGTAATGAGCATATGACATACAGAGAAGGCTGTAAATTGGTTTTGTTCCAGCTCACATTTTGACACCTCTAATGTTCAACACTTGTTGTTGTTCATTCGTTCAGTCGTCTCCGACTCTTCGTGACCTCATGGACCTGCCTACGCCAGAGCTCCCTGTCGGCCGTTACCACCCCCAGCTCCCTCAAGGTCAGTCCAGTCACTTCAAGGATGCCATCCATCCATCTTGCCCTTGGTCGGCCCCTCTTCCTTTTGCCTTCCACTTTCCCCAGCATAATTGTCTTCTCTAGGCTTTCCTGTCTCCTCATGATGTGGCCAAAGTACTTCAACTTTGTCTCTAGTATCTTTCCCTCCAGTGAGCAGTCGGGCTTTATTTCCTGGAGGAATGTTCAACACTACTACTATCTTATTTTATTTATTTATTTATTTATCTATCTTAATCATTTATAGTGCGGTTTCTTGTATGTCATTGTGAGAATACAGCTACATGCACTGCTGTGAGGACACATTAATATAGAAGAGTGGGATAGATTTATGCCTGTAAACAAACTGAGCTCTACGTTTTGTGATAAACAGTGATTTCTGAAAGTTTTCAAGAAGAAACACAAAATCCGCTTTTATGAACCACCTGACAGTTTCATCTGGACAGTCTCAAAGTCTCCACTGCAATTTCATCCACTTTTAAGAACAACACAAAGAATGTTTTGAAAGTATTTCCACTGGTTCATCAAACCTACTAACATGCACCATTTCACTGAGAGGAAGTCTCATTTGCCTACACATCTGCACAAGGCCATACTTATGGCAAGCTTGAAATAATAATCCAGCAAATAGATCCAAAATTATGTGTTACTTCTACTAAGCATTAAAATCCAGAAAAGTCTATAACCAGACTTCTCTATTCTGAAATTTTACTTGTACATTATTAACTCAGAACATATACAATTGTATATTGTCCTACTTCATTTAATATTTAATAACTTGGCAACTAAAAGAACTATTAAAATCCAAAACTATCAATCAAGTAGCAATCCTGTGTATGGATAGCTACGTGAAAAGAAAAATACCCTGCCAAAATAGACCATCACAAACACATCTCTCTCATCATATGAAACACCAAAAAGCCATCAGCTGAATGTATGCAGTGATTATAAAATTAGCAAGTCTTATCTCACTGAATACACTGCCTCAAGACCAAAAAGTAAAGAAATAACAGGCGGCACGAGGTGTCCCGGAATGATACTGTGACAGATGCCATACTGTAAATACAACTGGTAGAGTTGGTAACAGAAGGGAAATCTGTCCTCAATATGTCTCAACAATGAAGTGGAAGAAAACATAGGAAATATTTTGCCAAGTGAGAGAAGAATGATCCATGTGACAGATGCCGACTACTGCTACTGGTGGTTACATGACAGGAAATCTGTTATTTATGTCCATTGCTATAGTATTATTTCTGTACATAGGGACTATTCAGTGAAGTCACACTGCAATACAGCCAATTCTACTCTGCTGAGTTAAGTTAAACAGCCAAGTATACAGAAACCAGGAGTATCTGCTATGTCTATAGTGAACAGAGGAACAGAGAACTTCTTTGCTAATGTTCTCATGACCAAGGCAATTCACAGTATCCCTGGTTTCTTCTTCTTTGGGGAATGAAGCTGAAACAACCTTTTTAAACTGCTTTTCAGAAAATCAAGCTTTTACATTTTTTTTGAAGTCTCCAAGACAATAACTTAGTTTGCACCACCATCAATACAAATATAAAAGTCTGATCCTAAAATATATACACCCATGACCCATGTGTGCAACAGCTGTGAATATATATATATATATATATATATATATATATATATATATATAAAACTTTGGTTTACTTACAACATAGAGAATACTCAGAAAGCAGATTATAAATAATATTCTGGTTAGCAAAGAAATTTGCTTAGTAAATAAAACCCTTGCTATTAATTCTGAAGTGTGTGCACTGTGTACATGCTATGCATCTGTTCATCTATTGCCTTAGAGATCACTGCATCCATAAAATCAGTGTGGCCTCTTCAAGATCACAGCTGTTTTGATGAACATAATAGGTCATTATAGTAGGCAGTTTAGCCTGACTGTTACAGAGTATTGCATACTGCATCTCTTCTATATTCAACTAATATGAGCACACAGCAAAGTAGCAAAATAAGATATGCAACAGAAAATCATTTACCTAAGAAACAAGTAGGGCTTTGGAATAATAAAGAAATATTATAATCATTAAAATCTTATTATCTATTCCAAACTGACCAGCTAAGGAGAATAGGTAGGTATAACTCGTATTATTTACAGGACACATATGCTGAACTGGTGGAAGACATCACTCCTATAAATATATCTTAATAATTTACTCTAAAGATTTATGATTGAATTCAGTTAGATTTTGGAATTCATAAAGAGACAACCTGACTCTAAAATGAATCCAGTGAGAACATTTTAATATATCTAGTTCTTAAAAACTAGGGAAAATTAGCAGATAACGCACAAACAAGTGAAAAGCATTTAAAGCCGCAACTTACACTTCCAAGTCCTGCCTATGGTAGAAAGAACATGAACTCTCAGCGCTGAAGGGCTTAAAGATGTCACAGAGACAATGCATGCTGACAACCGTTCCAGCAAACCCTCCGTTCACTTAATGAGCCTAAGCCTTTTTACAGTCTCTGGTGCGGCATTTCTAGAGAGAAAGCCTTATTCTTGGACTGTTGCTTCAAGAATGACATCACCCTCTCTGTTCGCAGCCCTTGGGAAACAAAGTGGAGGAGGGACAAAAGGTTCTCTGACTCAGATTCCTATCTGTATTCAATGCTCCAGTTATCTCCCAGAAGTGTGCTTTTTTTTTTAAAGCGCAGGCTTCACTTTTTGAAACTTGATATTATTTCCAAAAGATAATGACATAAAAGCAATAAAGTAAGCTCAAATTAAGTTCTTGCTACAGCATCCAATACACTCTTTATTAAAAATGAAGTGATCGTTTTAAGTTTTTCTTCTACGTAGAGAGACATTGCAAACTGGATAAACTGTAATATTAAAAAGAAAGATCAACCCACTCATTTACGTTACATATTATCCCAYAGTAAATAGTATGAAGCTTTTGTGAATGCCTGTTATTTTTTAAGCCCATCTGTTTTTCTGTCATTCCTAACTTTAAATGGGGGGGGGGGGCGGACTATCTGAGTAGTATCCAGTTACTGAGATGGATATTCTGAACCTATAGTTTTAAGTGTTGGATTATGACTGGAGASCAGGGTTCAAATCCTTAYTCTCCCATGGAAACCTGCTGGATGACCTTAGGTAGGTCACACTCTCTCAGCTCCTGAGGAAGGCAAAGGTAAACCTCCAACAAAGAAATCTTGCCAAGAAAATCCTATGATAGTCACTATAATCCAGAAAGGACTTTGAGGGCCCTTCCACACAGCCCTATATCTCAGAATATCAAGGCAGAAAATCCCACATTATCTGAAAGAGGACTCAGATAACCTGGTTCAAAGCAGATATTGTGGGATTTTCTGCCTTGATATTCTGAGATATAGGGCTGTGTGGAAGGGCCCAAAGACACACAACAAATTCATCAGTAAGACTGGTACAGATGTAACTCTTAATGTTCATTAAGTTACTGGACTGTAGAATTTCACTTTCTGCCCCACACCCGAAAAAATCTCTCCTTCTCATATGCAGGTTTTCTACCATTGTTTTCTCAACTTTGGTTACAGGTTAAACTATTAACTACATTTGTTTAGATTCACTGGACAGAGAATCAAAACTAAAGATTTTATATCGGGCATTTCTTAAATTATAATTTTCATAGAATCATAGAGCTGGAAGAGACCTCATGGGTCATCCAGTCCAACCCCTGCCAAGAAGCCAAGAAACAGGAAAATCGCACTCCCAACAGATGGCCATCCAGTCTTTGCTTAAAAGCCTCCAAAGAAGGAGCCTCCACCATACTCCCTGGCAGCGGGTTCCACTGCTGAACAGCTCTCACCATTATGAAGTTCTTCCTGAATGCCTCACCAAACTAAACATCCCACGATTATATAGGACGAAGCCGCGTGGTAACTAAAGTGATAACTGCAATGTGGGTACACTTGCGATGCTGACATTTCCTGACAAGTCTCAGGTTACAAGTCACACAACCAAACAAAGCACAACCAATCAAACTCATGCTGATCGGGATACTTACTGGAAGATTTCCTTAGATTTGTATTCAATTTTAAAGAAATAATAAGAAAATCTGTGAACAGAAGGTGGAGGGAGTAATCCAGAAGCCAACCCTGAAGTACTTTGTCCCAATTAAGAGCTACATCTGGACTGTATTCCATACATGAGAACATAACAAATTAGAAGTGACAGACAACATCTCAGAATAAGTATTTCCACTTCTAGTCCATAGAAAAGGCAATACAAGACAAGTTTATTTTTCTGCTTCATAGGCAAATATAATTTATCATCCAATTTATTAAAGTTTATATATTTATAGAATGATCCATGTGTAGAAACATTTTAAAATAAAGGAACTGACATGTCAGCTTTAATGAGGTGATGACTATGAGAAAATTTAAATTGAGTTTAGAAGAAACTACAGATGTAGGAATTAGGCAAGATGATCTATTTACGGATGGCTCTAAGTAGTAGATACTAATCTCAGAATCTACAGTCTGGTCTCAGAACATATTGGGATATACTGGAAGCAACAGTATATCCCAGCTACAGGGTGTACAATAATACTTTTCTTCCAGGATTAAAATAACTACTACTACTACTACTACTACTACTACTTTATTTTTATACCCCGCCACCATCTCCCCAAGGGGACTCGGGGCGGCTTACAAAGGGACAAGCCCAAAGATTACAGATAAAAACAAACATATTAAAATCAATCAAATAAAAACATAACACAATCACAAAGCAACATCATAATAACAATATCATGGCTGAAACAAGAATCGAAGCTGGGTTCGGGCTCAAGTAAGTGCAATGATTCCTAAATACAGCCGAGGGAAAGTGCAAAAATTCAAATGGGCCGGGCTAGAAGGGAATACCCTTAGCTGTAAATACTTTAATTATTAGTTATAAAGAAGAAGAGAGCTGTTTTTATTCCCATCTGATGTTTATCTTTTGATCAGAAATGCATAATATCCAATCCTCCAGATGTCAGACTGCATATCCCATTATTCCATGGCATTGATTAAACTTATAAATATTGTCATCAAACATTATTTAGAGAGCCAACAAAGATAAACTTGGTTCATCTGCCCAAAGCTATAGTGGCAAAATCTGAGCTTATTCTGAAACATACTCATTTTAAGGGCAGGATGACTGTAGCATACTAGTTTCTACTGTCTATTCTGCAGGCTCACATGAAGTGAAACTTGAATCTCTAAACCTCAGGAATGCAGCAGGAAGCCTAAAGGTACTTAACTAATTATATGTTGTTGTTTTTTAAAACAGAGTACAAAACCTTCGAGGAAAGGTGAACATTGTAGTTTACTCACATCAGAATTTTGAAAATGTCTGGAGGAAGCTAAATTATGGAAGAGATTATACATTTCCTTCCACAGAAACCAGATTCTATTACAGGAATATTTCCACAGACTATCCAAAATCTAAGAAAATCTTGCATTAAGTACCCTGTCATATCATCCTACTCAACATGCAGCTGTTCAAGCACACATGCACACAAACTACTCATCAGTACTTGAATCTGAGTTCTAATGAGTTATTGAAAATGTATTATTACAATGTAAAATGCAAGTCCTGCTTCAGATAATCAAATGCATCTGTGGACATCAAAATCCATAGATGGCCAAGTCCCATCATGTACACAAGTGCAGTAAAACAATCCTCTTTGGGTAAAGTGGAAATATCAAAGTTTGATTTTTGAAAAAAAAATGGGGGGGGGGCGGTAGCATCAAGCAGTGGATGGTTGAATCCATGGAAAAGGAATCTGTGGATATGTAGGGCTTACACTAACACGTCATTGAGTATATTTGCATACTCTTACATACTGATTCTGAAAATATTCTCTAACAGTCAAAACAGAATAGGAACAAGAGTAACTCTGCTGTATCAATCAACAGCTCATTTGGTGCTTTCCATCCATATGAAGAGCTTCAGGGCAAAATGTTGTCCCCTGCTGCTATTCTCAGAAACTGGCATCCGGGGCAACACTGTTCGTAAACATGAGAGTGCCAATACAATTATCTTTGTTTCTTAATTGCTCAAAGGAGTCTGAAGTCATCTATAGCTATTCTTACTGTTCACATAAGTTGATATGGTCATAGGACAGTCCTTTAATTATTTTGGACACAAATTCTGAAGCATCAATGCCAGCATTTTCAAATCAAACTTACAGCTAATGCAATTGATAGTACAAATGTGACCTTATCAGATGGCACCTACCCAACTGCAACAGCTACTTTCTGCACCACTTGAAATATTTAAACTGTCAACAAACACTGTCATCAAACACTGCCCTGCAAGAGTGCATTACAAAAAGCAATTCTTACTATAAACATGGCATGAAGGGCAGACACAAGCTTAGTGATACATATATTGTCTGATGACGCATCTACACTTTAATTGACTTGGCTCAGTGCGATGGAATCCTGGTTCTTGTAGTTTCAAGAGGCACTAGCACTCTTGCCACAGAAGGCTAAAGACCAAATAAAACTACAACTCCCATGATTTCATAGTATTGAGCCATTGAAGTTAGTGGTGTCAAACTGCTTTAATTCTGTATTCTAAGAATTACACTAAACTCCTTCAAAATCTCTCTAAACTACTGACCATCTTGTCTTGTTGGCACAAATTCCAAAAATTATTAATGCAGCTGGGTTTGTTTTTTTTTTTAAATGCTTTCAGAAACTATAAATATACCATAGAGTTTCACTAACATTTCACCAAACAACTATTCAGCATTATACCTAAACATAATTTGGTGGGAAATAAGGAAAGACAAAAAACTTATTACTTTGGACGAAACAAAGTTAAAATTATAAATTAAAATTATAATTTATCTTCACAATATGCCACCTATTTATACATTGTTAAAATAGATTAAGGAAACAGATTCCACCTAAAATAGATTAGGGAAACAGATTCCACTTAAATATCAGAAATAAATTCTTTACTTCTGAGATGTTTAACAGTGGAATACTGATTGACTCAGAGGATGACAGACTCTCCTTCTCTGGAGATTTTAAAATAAAGGTTGCATGGCCATTTTTCAGAAGTGCTTTAGATCGTCTTGCTGCAGAGCATGGGTTAAGCTTGCAATCCCACCCAAGTATGATTCTGTTGTTCAAATCTTCCACATTCCCCATTCACCCTCAGCAAAATCTTACTCCAAATGATTATGCCTGCTTTTTAAAGGTGACAAAATTGTGCTCCAGGCAGAACCTGTTTACAAAAATGGAACATGTACTAACCAATTCATATTAATATACATGTGCCCATTTCTCCCCTGTATACTTAGAGATTTGATCTTTATTCCTGGATTTAAGAAGATTTTTGTATGGAACACAGATTAACAGAAATACAAAGATTCCCACAAACATTTGAGTATGTGTACATATAGCATGAACACACACACTATTTAATAGGCGATTTAAGAGAGAAAGAAGGAAGGGAACTTCAAAAGCCCTTCCTCCCCTTTGTCATTTCTAGATCCACCTACCTATGTTCTGTGAGAACAGTTACTGCTGACGGATGGTTGGCACAATATGCAAGGTATAGACTTTTGGTTTGTGGCATCAGATTTAGAAAGCAACCACCAACTCTCTGCTGAGCTTCAGGCAACCTGAAATAAAGCAATGTCAATGTAATTTTTTGAGAAAAACAAACGGCAAATGGATTCCAAAGAAAGTGAAGATGCCAATTGCTTTAGCAGACTGAAAAACTATACATAATGTCTTCACTACAGAAGGATGGGCAAGGTGATAAGTCATTAAAGTGGGGTATATCTGAAAGTGTGAAGTTTCTGCTTAGCCTTTGTAAGGGAGAAGTGAAAGGTTTGGAAAAATACTGTATTTCATAACATAATAGTTGCCCTTTTTATCCTTTTTTTAATCAAAAAAGAAGATGAGACTGCCTTTTTTTTACTTCCTTACCTCCAAGACAGGAAGATGAGGAGGGATGATCCAGCCTCAAACAAACAGCTCCATTTCTACTGGATTTTTTTATAAAACTGGATTGCCTTGGAGGAAGGAGGAAAAAGGAAGATTCCACCTGCCTCCCTTCCTTCTTTCTTTCTCTGAAGGCAAAGCAGTTTACAAAATCTGAGCTCTTTGGAGGAAGGAGGAAAGACTGGAGTTCCAGAGATTTCCATTTCATAGTTTTTAAGATGCCTTGCCTTTGGAGAAGGGAGGAAGGGAGAATCAGCCCCACACAATTCTGTGAGAATTATGCTAGGAACCCAGAAAATGGGGGTGTGGCTATTTTGCGGTGCAACTATTATGCAATGAAATACAGTATTTTATAGGCACTCAGTCTACCATCACTAAGAAGTCACTGTGTATTATTTGTCATTTCTTTATGTGACAATAATAAATTGATAACACAGTAAAACGACACTAGGTGCCAACCTAGACATGAATATCTTCAACAAATATGTAGGAACCATACCAACTATAAATTGAGGGAAGAAGTATTTTTAATACCAAAATGAAGACACTGTAAAGTAGAAGGAAAATCAATGCCTTCCCCAAAACTGATCTAGTTACTAGAGGTCCATTTGGGGTCCACTGTCTGAATAACAGAGAGAGTGAAAAACTGCAACTCCCATATCATGTTTCGAGAGATGATTTTTCAATGCCCGTCCTATGCAAGTGCTGCTGGGAAAGTGAGCTCCCAGCAGGGTCCTCTCTGGAATGTTTTGGATATTTTCAGACATTTCCTCACAGGCTTGCCTCACTTCTGATACTGGAGTCAGGGGAAATATCTTAATGATGATGCAAGGAAGGAAGGGAGCAAGATTTTGTTGCTCTTAGCTCAATTTGGCATTACATGTAAATTTATCACTCCCACTTTAAAGCCACAATAGATATCATGATCATTTAGAAAGTGCACGTTTACTTCACCTAGCTATATACACTCACATAAACTGTGGTTGTGAGCATATCTGATGGAATAGACTGATTACATATTATTAATACAAATAAGAAAAAAATTTAAAAAATCACTTCAACCTTTCCTAATTATCATTATTATTTCCCCAATGACTACGAATACACAGCAATGAAAGCCTCTAATTCAGGTGCAATCAGAGCACAGGCACAAAGTTACTTGCAGGTTCTTACATTGAGAGGGAATATTGTATCAAAACTGTCTTTCTAATTACACTGTTTACCATGCAAGGGAAATGTTGTTTCTTACTTGCAAATCATGTTATGTCATACATTGTCTCCCATTATTGTTAACACTTTATTTGGATCATTCAAGGCCAACATTGGACTGGAACCACTTTTTTATTTATTTTGACAGAGTTAAATCAACCTATCAGAATGAACTAGCCACCTGTATAGGTAAATCAGACATATTATAGACAGTTCACTTTTGTTTATGAAGTACAGGGTTAGTCAAAATGAATAGGCCAATAAGAAAATTAATTTTAGACGAATGTATGTTTATTGTAACCAAACTACAGCTACGTATCGACAGATAAACTATCAAAGTTTTGTCTCACCTTCAGAGATGTTCGATATGGGCGCCCCGTGTGACACGGCAGATGTCCAAGCGATAGTCCAGTTCATTCCACATCCGTTGCAGCACATCCGACGTAATGGCATCGAATGCAGCAACGTCTGGGAAGGTGTTCGTTGAGGTCCTAACCCTAACCCTAACCCTAACCCTATCCCTAACCCTAACCCTAACCCTAACCCTTGAAATTCTCGCTGGACCGTAATTACTGACATTGTTTTAGCAAATGTCATCACACAAAACGCCTTCTCTTTGCTTGATTCCGCCATTTTGAAAACAGCGACCCCTAGCGACGCCTAGCGGCATTAACGTACATGTGTGTTGCTCAAAAAAAACTTTGATAGTTTATCTGTCGCTACGTAGCTGTGGTTTGGTTACAGTAAACATACATTCGTCTAAAATTAATTTTCTTATTGGCCTATTCATTTTGACTAACCCTGTATTACGGAGCCCTTAATTATGTGATACGTACTTGGTGCATTCTTCTAAAGACTGTACAAGCATCTGCTGAAAAGAACTGATTTCTTCTAGGTTTCCCATTAAATAGGAAGTATCTGTAGAGTTTAACCTGGAACCAAGGAAGGAAAAAAGAAAATGAAGGTTAAAAAGTTGTAAAAAAAACACCCCACACTGACCATAATATGAAATATTTCTTTGAGTGAGGAATACACTTCTCATGTGAAATTCAGATAAGCGTGGAAAGTGGAAGAGGGGCTGACAGTCAACATATGCTTTTCAGAGTGGCAGTCAAGTTACATATACCAATATCAATTACAGTTCTTCACTAGCTTTATGATTCTCCCAAGCCCACAGAGCAGCCATTAACGATATCAACAAATACTCATTAACACCCAAAAGTTGCTATTGCATGAAAAACAAGTGCTTCCACACGGCAGACATGCAATCATCATGGGCATCTCCAATCTCAGTGGCAGAGACATGACCTCTGATGGAAAGCCCTTAGAAATATAAACTGACTCAATCCCTTAAAATAGCTAGCATATGGAGAACCGCTTTTAGTCACTCTTGAGAGAGAGAGAGAAAGCGGACTATAAATACAAATAATAACAATAACAATGTACTTACTTTTCACTAACTTGTAAGGGCCGTAGGTAGTTAGAAAGCATGGTCTGTAGCTCTTTAGCATATTCATTTTCTGTTTCTAGAATGTTTTGTAGCACCTACAATGAAGGAAGACTTATGATATAATTTTAAAACAAAAACACTGAAATGTTAAACACCACTATTCTTTGAAGTAGTTTGTTTCACTTCTCATACAACCTGGAGACTATAGTGGGAGGGTAGTGAGTTGGGAAGGGCCTGCTGACCACTGTAAGCAGTGCACAAAGTACTGAAGAAATAAAAGGATATCAAAGTAGTAGAGAAGTGCTATAGCACAGTGGCAGAGCAAAGGATATGTCTATACAACATCCAAAGCTCAATACCATATTCATAATCCCAAGTGCTGCCAGTAAGCATAAGAAGTACTAACGGATTTTGCTTACCTGGTTGTTTGCAGAGAACAATGAGAACAATGGCTAACCAATGTCAAATTTAAAACAAGAAACAGCACAATAGATATATATCCACAGATATATCATTGCCTAGTTTCCAACACACCTCACAAGCTCTGAGAATGCCTGCCATAGATGTGGGTGAAACGTCAGAAAAGAATGCTTCTGGAACATGACCGATACAGCCTGGAAAACTCACAGCAGCCCAGTGGCTCCAGCCATGGAAGCCTTCGACAACACAACAGCACCATATTCTGCCATTCTTCTTCCAGCCTTGGTGTGGCTTTGCCACACCTATATAGCCATCAATGTAAAAATGGGGCAGTGAGAGAAATGTTAGTGTTTATTCCCCTAGAAGACTCAGTGTGTTTACAGATCCTCCTTGAGTATCTTTTGTCAGCAAAAGATTTATGATAAGACTCTAGGAAGCTTCAGGAAAAAAATCTGCAATAGGAATCCTATTGTATACTGCCAATCAATTATTCACTGGTAAGTCTGTGCATATTTAAATCCCACTGATTGAGCGGGTTTCCTCTAGTCAGGGATAATTAAAGAATTAATGCCAAAGTCTCACAGACCAAACACACATTAAGAACAGGGCAACTCCAAGAGTGGGACCTCCCTAACTTCAGAAAATAATAATAATAATAATTATTATTATTATTATTATTATTATTATTATTATTGATATGCCGCCTATCTTCCCAAGAGGACTCTGGGCAGTTGGCAAAACATGTGGCAAAACATTCAATTGCCAAATGACACAAAAACCACACAAAGTAACCATTATAAAACATAAACATAATCCTATTAAAACAATCACAAACATTTAAAATCCAGTTTCAGATTTACAGATTTTGAATCAGATGGGATTCAAAATGCCAATGGCCAGAATTACCAAGTGGACCTAGTCAACTAAGGGCTGGGCCAGGGCTAGTGCAACGAAGTAGCATGGGGCCGGGGAAGTGGATAAAGTGCAGAGCAGGGTCTTAGCTGATGGCCTGGGGTTAATCACTCCGCTAATCCCCCACTGACAAGTTTGATAAACCAGGAAGAGCAAGGACTAAAGCACACATGGTTGCTCCCACCGCTTCAAAGACTTTGTCCACATTATCAGGCTGAACAAGTTGAAACAACTCCATCAAAACTGGACAGACAGGTGCCTCAGTTACCTCCCCTTGGTACTGCGCTAAAACTAGCATCTAAGTTGGAACGTATCCCAAGTGACTTTATATGCAAAATGATATGCAAACTCACTACATTGAATTGTGAAGTGGTCAAAGTTCTCCTCCCCCAATGAAGATAAAGGAGTTCCCTGACTACCCGAAACAGCTCCAACAGTCTATTTGTTGAAGACGCAATACAAGCAGTCGAGAAAACCTTTCTGGCTGCCCTCACTGCCATGGAATAGGCCTTAAGAGAGGCTCTAGCTCATGCTTGGTTGGATGCATTTCGAATCTTCCGCCAGTCGCACTCTAGCCTCTGTCTCACCCACTTCATCACCACCAGTTCCCCAGTAAACCAAGGAGCTGAATTGGCTTTGTGCAACAAGAGGGGACGTTAAGCCTTGGGGGGGGGGGGGGGAACTGTCATGTTGGCACTCCAACCTATAAAGTCACTTGGGATCCTCAGGGTCACAAAAACTCTGTTGTACTTCCCCCTGGGATAGCTTGTTCAATCACATCTACACCTCCCCGGCACAACCTCAATGGTGCACCTCTGACTCCAGAACTTCCCCACCCCCAGGGGCATCGTTTATTGGACTTAAAGGAGCTAATAGTCAGCTTCCAACAGTTGTCTGGGGGGAGGGCATTCTCGGGGAGGGGGACTCTCAAGGGCAGTTTCCTCTATGGATAATCTAATAGAATCATTTGATATCAAGGATGGCCAATCTAAGGGTGGGGGTTGATGCTCTTCATGGCTAGTTTTTAAGGGAGTGGGGGACCCTAAATAGAAGTCTGACTCCCTACTATGGGCTTTAGGTCAGCAAACAACATGATTGCCTGTAGCAGGCAAGATCATTGCATCTTTCAAGAACAATAGTCTCTTCTTAGTTTTCAATATACCAGGCTTCTATTCCTTTACAACCCAATTTATTACTATTATGGTTCCTCAATAGTGTTTAATTTCTCTCCTAGCATCCAAGGGATTTTGAGATGTACACATTGTCCAATTCTGCAGTTTATAGCCTGTTTAGGACATAAAACAGTTATTCATGCCTGTATGAAAACCTGATGAAACTAGTGACATGCTGAACTATTTAAAACAGAGAATTCACTGCTTCTTTCATTAGCGTTGCCAGACTCTGTTTTATTCCCTTGAATAGACCTATTCAGCTGAAGAGGACGGGTGGGGAGGCAGACCATTTCTGAGTTCATTCTTTTGTTGGTAACTTGACTCCTGCTCCAAAGATTAAAATGTCTCTATTCTACAAGAACCACTACGAAGGACAGATGTCACAAGGAACACATAAGCTATTAATTAGCTGGTTTTGAAAGTTTAATACCACATTTTCCACTGAAGAAGCAGAAAGATCAATAAATTATATTTTGCAAAGCTAAAGATGATGGTGAAATGCCAATAAGTCACAACACTATCATACATATAGCCAAGCAACATAAAGGAAAATACTGCACTGTTATTACCCACAGCATTTGGAACTAAACAACTGGAAAACAACAAACCCAGAAAACAAAGATCCAACAGAACCAGCCCAAATGTTTTTGAGTATTACAGCTCTAGAAATATACTAGAGATGCACAATACAGTTCTGCCATTTTAGCACAAATCATGACAAACTATTTAATGACTTAATTTCCCACTAAACAAGATTATGCAAACCAAGTGTCTATACATTTAAAGATGCACACATTATCCTCTTTAACCTAAAACAATTTATAAACAAAAACAATTTTAACTTGTTTACATTTTAACTGACAGTAAAAAGTGAGATTACAGCAACAAGCGTATTCTCCAAGTGTAAATATATTTACACCTTGATCTCTCTTGCATCAACCCATAAAGCACCCCAGGTTAGAAAAGAAAAATCTTACCATAACATTTGTATGAACCAATTTTATTTCTGAAGATGTAAATGTTCAGAATGCCTCAGTGTCTCATTAATATTAAATAGGGTTTATAGTTAGTTACCTGCTTCCCTTAAAGAAAGCTATGGGGCATTGCATAATTATAGTATCCTGGAAGGTAAATAAACCCAAACACAACTTACGTCACACAATGCATAGGTCTATAGTCTATAGTCCCCACATATAGTCTATAGTCCCCACATCAAATTTTCCTGCCCTAATAATCACGTCTGCCTTCTTCCTTGCTTTCTGCACATTCTGGCTCCTGCAAAACCCTATGAGATTTCAAAGACTTTGTTCTCCAAACTCCAGGACCATTTAATGAAACTAGATATTCCTTAGCATAGGGGGGAAATAATATAAAGTATGTCGAGCATTTCACACGCACAATGCCCAATTTATTTTCTCCCTAAATTAAAAACTTTCACCATGAAAGAAGCTGAAAGAAGCCCATGAAGACTTATCACTAAACCCTTTTCAGGAAAAACTCATCAAGTACCAAGCTATATACAGTTGACTCTCAGTTAACCAGCACCCATAGTATTAACAGATGTCAGATCAATGTTTTTTTCTGGTTTCTTCTTTAAAATAGGCCTAACTAATCCTATATCTCAGACTATATTATACTGTAAATTCTGTATTGATTAGATATTAATATTTATTTACTCGAGTCTAATGCACCATCGAATCTAATGCGCACCTCAATTTGCAAAACCCTGAAACAAAACAAAAAAAAGCATTTGCTGGTGAATGTAATGAGCAGTGTCCAAAAGTGCACTCTTTGTAATTTGGCCAAAAAGGTGTGTGTTACTGTTGCTACCTGTTTAGAATTCCTTCATTATAAATAAACTGTGCTTAAACACCAAAGCTTCCAGTGATGGAAAAGGAAACCTTTGAGGTGCATCTACTATGCTGTGGAATGAATCCACTGCCCTGGTTCAATGTTATGAAATCCTGGTGGCCATAGTTTAACAAAGTCTTGAGCCTTCCCTGCTAAAGAGTGCTGGTGCCTCACCAAACTACAAATTCCAGGATTGCATAGCACTGGACCCTGACCATTTAATTAGAAATACAGACACATACATAAGTTGTAATAATGCAATATATGGGAACACAATATGGCTCATGAAAACCTTTCATTTCTATTTTAAATATGATTTATTGCTTGTTTCACATATCTATTTATTTATTTAAAATATTTATATTCCACCCTTCTCACCCAGGAAGGGACTCAGGGCAGAGCATAACATACAAATGGCAAACATTCAATGCCGTGACATAAATAGATTATACAAAAATGTAAACATTAAAATTAGGCCTGTCCGGTTTCGTTCGTTAATTCGTTAATTCGTTATTAATTCGTTATTTTAGGCATTTTTGAAGTGATATCAAAACACATTTCCAAACCCGGAAGGGTTTTAAAATATCGAACCAGCAACCCCCATAGATTTAACGAGCTTCCGCTCGTTTCGTTAATGGGGTGGAGGCTGCTGGAGTGCTGGTGCCAGTGGGAGCCAATCCGGCGCTCCCAAGCAGTGCACTGTGGGTCCGTGGCTGTTTGTTTTTGATTGGCCGGCGAGCCCTTTCAAAGCGGCTCCGCGCGGCGCGGCCCGGCTCATTGCTGCAGAGGGCGAGGGAGTTTGCATTGGCTTGGCTTGGCTAATGGCTAGCAACTGGATTGGATTCATTCCTTGCTGCTGTGAGTGCTGCTTGCTTCATTTGCTGTGTCCTGCCTGTGTTTGGTCCACATTTGGGCCATTTTTTGGTTAATTTTCCATTTTAAAATATTTTTTAATATTATTTTTAATATTATTTTTTAATATTATTTTAATATTATTCTTAAAAAATATTCTAAAAAAGAAAAGACTCTTCTGTTGGTGTGTGCTCTCGATTGCCCTGTCTCCTGCCTGTGTTTGGTCCACATTTGGGCCATTTTTTGGTTAATTTTCCATTTTAAAATATTTTTTAATATTATTTTAATATTATTCTTAAAAAATACAAAAAATATTCTAAAAATTCGTTAATATTTACAAAATTTCGTAAATACCAAAACTTTTTTTTGGAAAGTTTTGTAAATATTTTAAATATCGAAACAAAAAAACACCCCAATTACAAATCGATTTTAGAAACAATTTTTTTCTTGATCAAACAGGCCTAATTAAAATCATTTATCTCAACATTAAAATTCAATGTTTAAAACCATCTCGATTATCTGCATTGAATCTACTTGGCATGGTGATGTTTCCATGAATTGAAACACACTTGATTTGAGGGACACACATTTCTTTGAACATGAGGCAATTTTATATCATATAGTAAAATGAAGCTGTCATTGAGGTCAGAAATACTGACAACTCACACAATGTAATTTTTGCCCTAGTACATGAGGGTTGAGCCATTCTATCCATAGTTCAGTCATCCCTTTTTCACTAAGTCTGAGATTTGCTATTGTGCTATGGCTTTGAAGCTTTCTTTGCTCCAACTACATTAGCTTAGATTTGAAAAATATTCATCTGTAGAAGAGCACCTAGACGTGATAACATTACATAAAGATTGCAACATTTCCTAATCATTATTGCAGAATAAAAAGAATTTTAAATTTCTTGTGAGCATGATTTATGACTAAGGCCCAGCAAGGCCCTACTTCCTCTCAATATTGAAGGAAGAGGTTATGTCTTCTTGAAAAAAGCGTATTTCCAACACTGAATATGCAAACAGTGCAAGATCCAATCTTGATATGGACCAAGATCCTCTAAGACAGCTCTTCTTTTAGTACAATGAATGCAAATAAGATATATCACAGAATAGCATACATTTCAAGCAGTTATGAGAAACTGTAAAGACCCTCACACTGTGCTGGTTAGACTCCTCATATATACCAAAATGCAATCAAACCACCTGATAGTCACAAGAGAAACGTGGAAAAAAATCTATATCATGTGGATTATCTTCTAAAACATTAATGATACATACAAAACAAAGAAATGTCAGTCATTATAAAATCTTCTCTTGTTCTCAAACTGAGCATAATATTTTTTCCTCTTCGACAGGGCATAGTTAATTCAACTAGAATTCTGCTTTGACATTTGCAGACTTACTCCACCTAAGTGCAAGAACATAGGGCAATAACACAAAATAAGTACTTCACATTTCCCCCTTACGTTATTTTTTTTTTACAATACTAGAAAAAAAACAAGAATGGCTACAATGAGAAAGAAAAGCACCTAAATGGGGAAAACCAAGATCAAGGCTGTGTAGCTTTCAAATATTGAGCTCAGTTTTGATAATCCCAAAAACCTGATTTGATTTACATAAAAATGAAACAGGCTCTCAGAAGCTTTAGTCACCACTTCAGGTATATAAAACTGCTTGTGTGTGTGTGTGTGTGTGTGTGTGCACTGAACATTGTTTCATATACTTATGGGACAGGAGCAGGAGTTTTTCAAATTCTAACAAAAGTTTAGGTATCATTCCTATTTCTTTTAAACTTTAAAACAGGTGTTTAAGTTGTATATACACAGCTACCTACAGCATCATACCAGAGATTCAGCAATCTCTTGTTTTGTCACATTTCTTAGTATTACAAAACCAGACAGCAGGCGTGGTTGTCACACATAAATGACTAGTGGGCTTTAAACATAGTGGCCAAACACAAATTGTAGATAACTAGTTTTAAGATGCTTAGTTATTACAGAAGAATGACCACCCTTGAGGGTTGCTTCACCTCTAAGCAAGAAGTTACTGATAAATGGTACAAATAAAATTCAGAGAAATTTCACTCACCACATTATAATAGCTTTTGCTAATAGAAGATGTGTCAAAGCCTTTTGGAGGACTCTTTAGGGATCCTGATTTGGGGGAGACTGGTTTTTCTGAAAGATATAAAATCTTTTAGCAACTGAATGCAATTTCAAAGTTCAAACACTAGAGGTCAAACAAAGTGCACTTTTTATTGCAATTTAAAAAACTGGATTCCAAAGTATTTATTTGACCTGGAAGACAAATACAGTAATCTCTTCAGAGGATCATATCTTAGTTTGATACCCTAAGGCTTCCCCGAGGCTTGCCTGCATGTTCCCTCCTATAACACCCCTTCTCTTGTCCATTTGCAGCACACTGCAGTATGTCAGAATGTCAGACCTCTTCACTTAATTGTACGTTCCTATTATATTTGAAGTACAAAAATCCGATCCTAATAATACAGTATAAAGATCAAGATTTTCAGCTATGATTTGAAGTTCTTATTTTCAAGATCTGTCTTGTTCTAAACCTTTTATTCTTAGTTTTATATTCAGAGATTAAAAATTAACAATGGTTATCTGATGACAGTGAGGAAGAAGTGAACCAAATGCACAGACACAAAAATAATTCACATCTTAGGTTAGTATGTCAAAGTATGACTGCCTGGTCAAGTCAAATTCAACAGTAGAAATTTAGAATAGATGAAAGCATATTGTAATAATTCCCTCATGACAAATAATGCACTTGACATATTACATAAGTAGATATCAGGGTCGCAAAGCTTCCAAAATAGTTATTTATTTGCTGCATTTATATCTTGCCCTTCTCACCCTGAAGGGGATTTAGGGCAGGTCACAAAAAAGGCACAATTCAATGCCATTAATACATATATAAAATAAAACAAACTATACTCTAAAATCACTTAATGAAACATATCAAACTTAAAAACAATTACTTAAAATCACACAATCCAAAAGCATATTCCAGGAGCCATTCTGATTGTCACTTGCATTATTCATTATTGCACTGGGGATCATTGTCCAAAGGTTTGGTCCCACAACCATGTCTTCACTCCCTTACAGAAGATCAGGAGGGAGGGGCTGATCTAATTTCCCCGGAGAGGGAGTTCCATAGCTGAGGGGCCACCACCAAGAAGGCCCTGTCTGTCATCCCCAACAGTTGCACTTGCAAGGGTGGTGGGATTGAGGGCAGGGCCTCCTCGGACAATCTTAACCTCCAAGATACCTTTCATTGAATTTACAGTGATAATAAACCAAACAACTAATGAAGACATGACCATTTGTGAGGCTGCTTAAAGAAATAAGTAGAAGGGGGAGAATTCATACGCATAAACATTTTAGCACATATTAGTGTGGAGTACACCATAAACTACCAATATATTTGCCTTGTTATAACAGGTTTAAAAAATCACCTGCACAACTTTCAACTGCACTGAGTAGGCAAACTTCTACATATACAAGACTAAGGGGGATTGATCCCAAAGTTCTTCTCTATAAATTTATTTTGCCTCTTGCCCCATCTCCTCCAGCTAAGAAATTGATAAGGCCCTGTCTCTCATCCCTGCCAATCGTGCCTGTGAAAGAGGCGAGACTAAGAGCAGGGCCTCCCCTGATGATCTTAAACTCCAAGATGGTTCATAGGGGGAGATACATTTGGCCAAGTAAGCTGGGCTGGAACTGTTTAGGGCTTTGTAGGCTACAGCCAGCACTTTAAATTGTGCTAGGTAGCAGACTGGCAGTCAGTGGAGCTGACGTAACAGGGGAGTTGTATGCTCTCTGTATGATGTTCTGGTGAGCAATCATGCTGCCGCCCATTGGACCATTTGAAGCTTCTGAACAATTTTCAAAGGCAACCTCATGTAGAGCGTGTTGCAGTAATTCTTTCTCGATGTAACAAGAGCGTGGACTACCGTGGCCAAGTCTGACTTTCCAAGGTACAGGCACAGCTGGCACACAAATTTTAATTGTGCGAATGCTTCCCTGGCCACCGCCGAAACCTGGAGTTCCAGGCTCAGCGATGGATCCAGGAGAACTCCCAAGTTGCAAATCTGCATCTTCAGGGGGAGTGTAACCACATCCAACACAGGCTGTAACTCTATACCCTGTTCAGCCTTTCGACTGACCAGGAGTACCTCTGTCATGTCTAGATTCAATTTCAATTTGTTCGCCCTAATCCTGACTGTCACAGCTGCCAAGCACCGGTTCAGGACTTGAACAGCCTCCATAGTAGCAGGTGGAAAGAAATGACAGAGATGAACATCATCTGCATACAGATGGCATCGAACTCCAAAACTCAGGATGATCTCTCCCAACGGCTTCATTTTAAACAACATGAGAGACAGTATTGAACCCTGCAGGACCCCACAAGACAATGGCTGCAGGGCTGAGCAGATGTCTTCCAACAACACCTTCTGGGAGCGGCCCTCTAGGAAGGACTGGAGCCACTGCAGAACAGTACCTCCAAGACCCATTCATGCAAGGCATCCCAGAAGGATACTGTGCTCTGGAGTAATCCTGTCTATTGTCCTAGTCATCTCCCTATTCCAGAGAGAGACTAGAGCATCAACAGGATCACCTACCAAGGCGGCGGGAAATTCCCCAAGAGCCATCAGGAATCTATCCGGATCCATAAGCCTTCTGATGCGGACCATTTTAATAGGTCTTTCACCCCTACAGAGGTTAGGGGGCAGAGTAAGCCTAAACCTGATCAGTTGATGGTTGGTCCATGGCAATGGAGTGATAGTCAGCTCCTCCACACAACCACCTTCCTCCCGTCTAGTGTATGTCCAGCTCTGTGAGTAGGGCCAGATACTAGTTGGTAAAGCCCCATAGTGGCCACTAAGTCCTTAATCGCTCCTGACAAGGTGGTCTCCGCATTGAAGTCCCTCAACACTATGAGCCGTTGGGGTTTCAACATCAGGCCTGAGATCTCCCTGGCTAGCTCAGGCAGGGAGAATGTAGTGCAGTGGATAGTTGGTACATTCAGACAGGTAAGTTGGACAAGAGCCATTTAAGCCAGCACTTTGAATTGTGCTTGGTAACTAATAGTCAGCCAGTGGAGTTGCTGCAACAGGGGATTGTATGCTCCTTGTGCAATGTCCCAGTTAACAACATGGCTGCAGGACGTTGGACTATTTGCACCTTCCGAACAGTCTTCGAACGCAACCTCACATAGAGCACGTTGCAGTAGTCTATACGGGATGTAACAAGAGTGTGGACTACAGTGGCCCAAGTCAGATTTCTCAAGGTATGGGCGCAGTTGACGCACATGTCTTAGCTGTGCAAAAGCCCCCTGGTCATCGCCAAAACCAGGGATTCCAAGCTCAGTGATGTGTCCAGGAGGACTCTCAAGCTGCGAATCTGCACCTTCAGGGGGAGTGTAACCCCATCCAGACAGTACCTCTGTCTTGTCTGGATTCAACTTCAATTTGTTTGCCCTCATTCAGCTCGACACAGCAGCCAGGCACTGGTTCAGAACCTGAACAGCCTCCTTAGTAGCTGGTGAAAAGTAGTAGTCCTATTGTCTACAGTCTGGCCACATTTACAACTGCTTACCACTGTTGGTTGATGAGCGCAGTTTTGTTGAGTTTTGGTTGATGTTTTATATGTGTATGTGTTTTACTTATTGTATTTTATACCTTGCTTATTTTATGTTCTGTTTTCAGGCACTTTGTGACGTGGCCCGAGTCCCTTCAGAGAGATGGTAGCGGGATGTAAGAATAAAGTTATATTATTATTATTTATCTATATGAGTTGAGATGTACTGCATAGTCAAAAGCCTATATCAGATTACACATAAATCAATCCTTAGTGAAACTAGACAGTCTGTAAAGCAGCCTCATGGAACTTACCGCTTGATTTGACTTCTCTTACATAATTGCTAGGAAACCACCCTGTCTTGCCATTGTAAGTTCCTTCCCACCAGCCTCCTTCTTCTACTCTTGTAACGTGGATAATATCTCCTTTTGTAAAAGAAAGTTCATCTTCATTGGTCTGCTGAAAATTAAATTTTGCCCTTACCACCATCTGGTGGTTGCTGTTGTCTGTCATATCCTAGAAGTAACAAGACCAATGAAATACAAAAGGTTTAGGTACTTTTCAGAATAATAATAAGAAGAAGAAAATGTCTTAATCAAAACTAGTCTAATGAGATAGATAAGATAGTCAGTGTAGCGCCTTCTTCAGGTATGATTATACAATTCATCTGTATGAATTTTGTCCCATAATATTTACACCTACATCTTGAATTTAGCTTATTTGCTTGTATCAATTAATGTAAATGATAATTATGAAGTGCATATATTTAAAATTTCTTATTTGTGCCATTTATCTAGCTTGTAATACAGGTTCACTGTAACTAAACTAAGCCACAACAATTCATGTTTTGTCTTAGTTCATACTTAAGGCTGTTTTAATACATTCTCTGTAAGGATTTTCTGAAGATACAAAAATTTAAGCTGTTGCACAGCAACTCATTAATAAAGGTAAAGGTTAAGGTTTCCCTGACATTAAGTCTAGTCATGTCTTACTCTGGAGGCTGATGCTCATCTCCATTTCTAAGCTGAAGAGCTGTCGTTATCCGTAGACACTTCCAAGATTATGTGGCCAACATGACTGCATGGAGCACCGTTATCTTCCCGCAGAAGCAATACTTATTGATCTACTCACACTTGCATGTTTTCGAACTACAAGGTTGGCAGAAGTTGGGGCTAACAGTGTGAGCATCTAGATTCGAACTGCCAACCTTTTGGTCAGCAAGCAGCTCTGCGGTTTAACGCTCTGCGCCACCAGGGGGCAACTCATAGATAACATGATTTAAAAAAAACACGACCATGATCTGTTTACAGTACAAAAGTTATATGAGTCTTTGGCCACAATCCAGCCCATTGATTTAACAGCCGCAAGCAAACTGTATCGTGTTGGAAACTGTGATCCGTGCCAGTGAAAAAAAATTGCACTGTTTGGAGAGTCAGTATCTGCTCTGCATTTTTTTAGCATTTCAAATGTTTCTGCTACTGATAGGTGAGAAGGTAACGATCAGATATCTGTGAATCTGAGTCATGCTTCTCACTTTGCAACACTAATTAAAGAGAGTGGAGAGAGAGAGAGAGATTATAAATGGGTCAACACTTACCAGACTTCTATACTGGCCCTGAAAAAGTTTTGAAGTTCTGCTGTGTAAAGACTGGGAGCCTAAAGAATCAAACGACTTTATCCGATGAGACGATGGCCTCGCACATACAGAATCACTTCCCAGCCCAATGTCTGAAAATATGACCATGAACCAAGAAGTTCAGAAACAACATATACAGAAATACATTTAAACTTGATCATGTAAAATCGGAAACTGGATGTCACAGAAAGATGTACATAAAAGCAGAATCTTTCACATAACTATATGTAAATAGTTTTTTATGACAATTGGAGATGGTGCAATGACCACCAAAAAAGGGGGGGGGAAACAACTGGAGAAGATAGATTCAAGCACTTAGGATGCTTCAAAGAAGCTACTTGACTTGAGTTTAAACTCAAAAGGGTGTGGGAAACGGCATTCTGAAAACTCACGTCTCCAAGCCCAATTTTTTCTGCTCAAAATATCCTTTAAACTGCAAATGCAGAATACCCACAGTGTTCTATCCTCTGCTATGATGCTCTCATTAAGATGAATGAAGATGTACATCAAAATCCACATTAGAATATGAAACCATCTGCAGTATGCAGTTCCTGATCCCACAAGTGATACATGCTGCTTTCAGGAGAGAATTTCGACAAATGAAGGAAACTGGGGGCAGGCAGAACAGGTAAATTTCCCTTCCTTTCTATCTTTCTGTCATCATCTTCAGGAATGGAATGCAACCAAACCAACAAATTAACCCCATTATGAAATTTATTTTTTTACTATTTAATTCAGTCATTCTGGAAAACATCTTTTCTTTCTGGGTTTTTTTTTCTTTCAAGGGGGTGGCATTAACATAAAAGATAGGTGAAGGTTTCCAAGAATGGAGCAGCACCTTACATGCACCGAAATCTTTCTTATCAATGACAACTTAAGTTATTAAAAATTGTATTTGGATCACAGAACCATTTATTTGGAAACTCAAACAACCTCCTGGCGAATTTCCAACCAGAACAGTAAGAAAAAGATGAATGTAGGTTAAAAACATGCTGCTGTTAAGAAAACTGAACACAAGCAAATAAACAGAACTAAGGAAATAGAGCTATTTGCAAGACTATGAAATGAATATTTGCAAGACTATGAGATGGATTCTGCTTACCTGCTGTGACTTTATTTAGTGCAACTAAAGAGCTGAGCACCTTGTTGAAGTTCTGTCCTTGATACAAATCATTTGCATCAAAGGTCTAGAAAAAAAGAAACAAGACACATTATGACAATCTAGAAAAAAAGTAAGTTTTTCTAAATGCTAAAATGCCATAAATTTCTACAAACAGATTCTCTCTCACGCAGACTAATACACAGAGATACACATACACAGATAGAGAGATTCCAATTGCATCTGAAAGAGCTATCACTAGCCTTTAAAAGAGGGTAAGGAATATGAGATCTTCCAGATGCAATTGTTGGACTGTAATTCCCATCAGTCCAAGTCAGAACAGCCAAAAATGGGGAATAATGGGAGTTGTCATCCAACAACATCTGGTGTGCCAAAGATTGTGCACCTGTTTCAACAGCTTGATGGTTCGCGGCCTATATTACTTGTCTTCTTCCTCATGAACTTCCCACATCCTTATACAATATATGCCACAGAAATGTCAGTATCTGAGCCCTTTTTAGACCAATAGAATCTGTAAGGGTGCAAGCCAGTCTCTGATTTGTTTGCACAACACATTTCGAAGTAGGGGATTCACAAGGTTCTTCCAATCCTATGTATTTTATTTATTATTTATTTAAAGCATTTATATTCCGCCCTTCTCACTCCGAAGGGGACTCAGGGCAGAGCACAACATATAAACGGCAAACATTCAATGCTGAAACATATTAGACCATACACATAAAAAAGCAATAAAATAACTTATATTGTTAAAATCCACTAGTTAAAACTGTCTCAACAACCATATCGAATTTGGTTGGCATACTAAGGGTTCCTATCGCTGCCTCATTGCACAGTCCCAATCCTACACAGACATCTAAAAACATGGTTATTCCACGGCTGAGTGAGAGACATTAAATTTACCTGGGGAATGAATGATGTTATTCTGCTTCAGTAAATGTTAGGGAGACCCTTGGAGCAGCATGTTTAAACTGGAGGGAAATGGGCTCAAATCCTGACACTCAGCTGCTACCTAGTAATCGCAGAACAATTACCACCAGTGTTAGTGAATTTGAAGATTTGGAGGAGGATGGGAAGGTGGGAGTATATGAACTGCTTTAAGTTTTCACAAAGAATGTTTAATTAATTACAGATGCTGCCAAAACCTTTATTAATCAATGTCTTTTTTATTATGATGTTGGTTGTCTTTGTTCGGCTGGCTCCCACATAATATTTTGATACTCTGTACACCACACGAGAGCTAATTACGGCAGAAAACTACATCCTACAGCATTGAAGAAATAAACAAAGAACAACTCCCTTGCCCCCAAAATAGGCACAACATATTCAGAATCCAGAACCTATACATATTTACTCAAATGAAGACGCACTCATTTCAATTGGGTTTTTCTTTTTTTTTTTTAAATGTATGCGAAGGAATGCATGTGTGTTTGTGTTTAAGAGTCTTTCACAGATGTTTGAGTGTTTCTGCTTAAATAATGTGCCATATATGGAAAATTGCCATGTAGAAGGAAGAAAAGTTTAGTGCTTTTTCTTTTTACATTAATTCTAAATTACAGTGAACTTGAAATGTCTGCCCAGCAAGGCAATCCTAAAAGAGCATATGCTTAGGAATAAGCTCTGGTGACGTTAGTGGGAGTTACTTCAGAGTAGACACACATAGGAGCAAGCTGCTGGTGACATTTGAGAACAGATGCTATGACCTCATCTGAACATGTTAAACAAAGGGAGTTTTCACATGTGGGGCCTGAAATGGGGTAGCATGCTTCTGGACAGAAGTTTTACATTTGCATTCAGATTAACTGTAGTTTAGAACTAATGTAAACAGAAAAAATAAAAATAAAAACCATGCCCGCTTCACATTTAACTTCCCTTCTTGACTCCCACATAGAAAACTACCATAAATGGCATATGTATTTAAGCAGAAACACCCAAATACCATTAAATACTGTCAAGCACAAAGATTAAACACATTTCTCTCTCTTTTGTAAATATTACAGATAGATAGCAAATCAAATATGGTCTTCTTGGCCCCTCCGTATCTGTTGTCTTACGAACAGCAGAAAAAAGGGTTAACTGCTCGTCTTTCATCGAAACCAGAAGGAAACTCTTGAGTTCATGCACTATCAGAAATCATTTACCAAGGAAGGAAAGAAATTACTTCGTTTTCAACAAAGAGCTAGACAGTTCTTTAATATAACCTCACCATACATGTCTTATGAACAAGAATATTGACACAACAGAAAAAGTATATGGATAATTAAGTAGTATGATGATTGATAAGGAAATTGTTTAAAAACATCTGTGACATAGGGAACGATGGTAGATAGGGTAAGGCAAGATATTAGATTATTTGTTTTGTTTTTTTTGGTTAAGCAGTGCAACCAATCATAGGAAGACGGTAAATGGAACATAGGAATGGCACAAGGATTATGAGAACGGATCTGATTTCAACTGAGGCGTTATGTTATGTCTGTTTTGTTGTTCTGTCTTGTTGATTGTTAACTGTTGTGGATTGATGCTGTTGATCCTGTTTGTTGCATTGTTATGTTTTAATTGCACTGACACTGTTTGATAATTGTACCATGTAAACCGCATTGAGTCGCCTGTTAAGGGCTGAAAAATGTGGTATAGGAATAAAGCAAATAATAATAATAATAACAATAATAATAATAATAATAATAATAATAAAAGAAAGGCAGCACCCAAACACCAATCAAGGAACATGAAAGGCACTGTAGACTAATTCAAACAGAGAAACCAGCCTGAGCAGAGCACTTGAAGGACCAGCCTGGACACCAGATATTATTGGACAATACAGAAATGCTGGACCACTCTAACAACTACCATGTCAGACTGCAGAGAGAAGCCACTGAAATCCAGAAGCATGTGGACAATTTCAACAGAAAGAAGGAAACAAAGACAATGAACAACATCTGGCTACCAGTATTAAAAAGAAACTCTAAATTTGAAACAGTAAATACAGAACAAATCTCAAAAACAGGGGAACTCCAGAGAAGTAACGATCAGGACCACCTAATCACCTCTCAACAAAGAATCCCCCCAGGCAGTAACAAGCCACACCTAAAAACTGTCAGGCCATCAAATGCTAATCAAGGTGGTCAATTGAAACATTCACACCTAGCTCCTACAGACAAGAGTTCTTTCTCCTACTATGGACGTTCCACAGATATATAAACCCAATTTTCCTAGTTTCCAAGAAACAATCAAGGCCAACTAACACCTCCCAACAAAGGATTCCCCAAGAAGGAAACAGCCAAGCTTTGAAGCTGCAAGGCCATTCAATGCTAATCAAGGTTGCCAACTGCAACATTTACACTTGCCTCAAGCAGACAAGAGTTCTTTCTCCACCCTGGACATTCCACAGATATATAAACCTCACTTGCCTAGTTTCCAACAGACCCCTCAACCTCTGGGGGTACCTGCCATAAATGTGGGTGAAACGTCAGAAGATAATGCTTCTAGAACATAGCCATACAGCCCAGAAAACTCACAGCAACCCAAAAAAACAGGCAGTTTTTTTTAAAAAAATGAGCCTTCACTAAGATTTCACTTAAATGCTATGCAAACCGAAAATGTCAGCCTTCACTTTTTGTTAAATGTTTATAGACAAAGAACAGTGAAGTCCAACTTCAGAAAAGTACTGAAACAAACAGCACTTAGTAGTCATCTATAACAAAAGACGCAAGGCTGGAGGCTTATTAATATTATGCCCAGGCAGGATGGATCTTCCCAGAGGTTTTCCTTTCCTAAAAAAAAAAAATCCCACCCCGGTGCCTCCAATATGATAGCAAGATAATGATGGCTATGTGTCATGATGAAGTGAACACTGCTTGTCTTTAAACTTTCCTTTCAATTAAAGCTGCCACCAACCTAAGGTGTTTTAGGATTTTTTTAAAAACTATTTGAGGTGAACTTTACCCACTCCTGCCAACCCTGCTTTTATCCCTGGCTCCCAAACAACTGTTTGTTGAGAGGCTTTTCCGTAGTAACAGGGTGTTAAAAAGGCTGGAACTATCCCAAAGGCTTGATGATGGAATGGTGTACAGTAGAGACTTTGTTGAAAGTCAAATAGAATAAGTTTTATTTTTAAAACAGACAACTAACCACTCCTGAGAGGTACAAAAAGCATGACTTGTTACAAAAGTACTTCAGCTTGATTGGTTGCTTGAACAGTCCTCTTCACTTTGTTTCAGACAGAGCTAACCAAACAGAACTAACTGTTGGTAACAAAATCCTCGCTCTCTTTCGGAGAATAGTGAGGAGTCTGACTAGCCTATCTAGGCCGAGTGGGTAACAGTGGTGGTGAATGCCTCCCTTCGGGAAGGCAAGATTCCAGCGAGCCTAAAACAGGCTATCATAAAGCCGCTGTTGAAGAAGCCATCACTGGACCCCACTAAATTGGACAACTTTCGGCCTGTTTCCAATCTCCCCTTTTTGGGCAAAGTCATGGAAAGCGTGGTGGCCTCACAACTCCAGGTATTCTTGAGAGACACGGATTATCTGGATCCGGCACAGTCTGGTTTCAGACCGGGACATGGAACTGAGACGGTCTTGGTCGCCTTAGTGGATGATTTGCGCCGGGAGCTAGACAGGGGGAGTGTGTCCCTGTTGGTGCTCCTGGACCTCTCAGCGGCCTTCGATACCGTCGACCACGGTATCCTTCTGGGGCGCCTTGCGGAAATGGGTCTTGGGGGCATTGCTTTGCAGTGGCTCCGGTCATTTCTGGAGGGTCGCACCCAGAAGGTGTCATTGGGGGGCTCCTGTTCCGCACCACAACCTTTGACTTGTGGGGTGCCACAGGGTTCCATCTTGTCCCCCATGCTGTTTAACATCTACATGAAGCCGCTGGGTGAGATCATCCGGAGTTTCGGGGTGCGGTGTCATCTGTACGCAGATGATGTCCAACTCTGTCACTCCTTTCCACCTGCTACTAAGGAGGCTGTCGAGGTCCTGAACCGGTGCTGGCCGCTGTGACGGTCTGGATGAGGGCGAACAAACTGAAATTAAATCCAGACAAGACAGAGGTACTCCTGGTCAGTCGCAAGG